CCTACAGTTTTAAAATTAAAGCTATATATTTGTGAGCAGTTTTTGTATATTTATGCCTTGAATAGGAAAAAGAGTCATAGAGTCATTGGGGAAGCCAATCTATTGAGAGACGGACTAATGCTTTGTTGATTTTGGTGTTTTCATTTGATTTGTTGACAGCTACAATACAATACAAAAACAGCCTTATTCTTTAATTGTTAGGACATTTTACTTATATCAAAAGCTGAAACAATTAATCAAGCAATCAGCAATTATTTTGATAATCCGCATTTTTCAAGCAAAAATGCCAAATGTTCTCTGGCTCCAGCTTCTCAGTTGAGAGCATTTACTGATTTCCTTTATCTTAGGTGATAATAAACTGAATATCTTTTAGTTTTAGACTGTTGGTCAGACAAAACAAGAAATTTTAAGATGCCCTTAAAAGCCATAAAGGAATATTGTATAAACATTGAGAACCCAACTTTATTTGTATAGTACTTCAAACACAATACAGTTGATTGGAAGAAAGAAAGGTAAGCGAGGAGAAAACAGAAACATGAGACTAAATTATAATAAACTGATAGAATTAACACATTTAAAACAACATCTGAGACTTTTCAACTTTTAGTGGATAAATACATAAAGTCTCTCTAAAGCCTCATTTTGTAAAGCCAGAACCCAAGAATCCTTATAAAAAACAGATCCGGGTCCAAGAGATTTAGACCCTATTGGGAATTGATCATAACCATTGCTTAGCTAGACTCCCTAAAATACAAATTGGATTGTTGTTTTCCCCATTATGCATTGCAGCCTGTAATTATATCCCAGCTGTTGTGGTGTAGAAGCAGGTTTGTAATTATTTCTGCGAGAAAGAAAATGATGTGCTCCAATTTTTCGTTTTTTACCATTGTTTCCTTGTTGCTGCACTGTTCCTTGACATCATACACTACTCGTGTATTTTTTTCTTCGCGCTTGTCTGTTCTTTTGTTCAAACTGATAATGATGTGTAGTGACTGTTGAGGTGTGGTGACAGGCTGTCGAGGAGATGGGGCAGAAAAGTGAGAACTGGACCGGAGAGGAAGTGTTTGTGGCAGGCGGACTGTTTTGACCTTCACCATGTGATTCCCCTCGTCAGATTGGGTGACACGAACTGTAACCGTGTGGCGGTCGAGATTGGATCTGTTTTTTAAGCATTCGGCTGATTGTCTCACCCAGAGGGATTTACAATAGTTAAGTAAAGAGTGCAGGGGTCTCCGCCGAGGCGCCCCTGGAAATTTTCCTGTGAGAGAAGTGTCGGAAAATGTAATAAAAACAGCAGCTAAGGAGCATCTTTGACTGTTATTTCTGATCATCTACTCATTTTCCACATGTTACTTATAATAATAGAATAAAACTAAATGTCAGCTTGATGCCTTAATGGAAGGCTCATGTTTCAGCCGAGCACAGCAGTAGCAACTCACAAATCCCACTGGTACTTGCATCCATTTACTGAGCAACAATAAAGTACACCGTGGCTATTTACTGTAGGTTTATCCCATGGGAAATTTTGCATTTGTCCAGCCGTTATATCATGCAGCTAATGATCCGCTGAGCAGTTGATTAAGAGACTAGTTCTGTGCTACGGTACATCCCATTACTGCAGTAAATTAAGTGGCTGTGCTTGAATTTAAAAAGAACATCTTCAGATTTGAGGCACTGAATGGCGAGCATCACCACTGTGACATCTTATTTGAGTTTTGATTCATCGTTCTCTAGGTTCCAGGAGCTTTAGGACCCTCTAAAAGCTATAACCTGCAGCTATGATGTCCGATGATGAAGGCCCACGCGGTGTCATAAACATTTACTGTCTCGTCAGCTCTGTGATTGATCACACTGTGATCGGGTTAAAGGCTACAGAGCAGGTTCAGACCAGCGATGTCCTTCTGATGTGCGTCAACCGGCAAGATTGACATCAAACAAAGTAGTGTGCTTGTAGATTCCTCCCTGCTCCCTATATTGGTCAGTTAATATTTCGAGCCGCTGTTGCTTGGTTCCAGCTTCTTTGATGTACAGGTTGTTTTTTTTTTTGTCTGATATAATAATATGAATATATTCAGGGTTTGGACTGCTAGTTGGAGAAAACAAGCAATTTAAACCAAGAAAACAATTGCAGATGAATCAATACTGAAAATAACTTTTTGTTGCAGGCCCTAGTAGTACACCTAAAAAACAGAATCTAGCCACACTATAGCCAACTACAGTAGCTAGCAAACTACTTACCTGCTAAATTGAAGTGGTTTATTTTTCTTCAGAATTGATCAGATAGTTATTGTTTTAAATCAAAAGGTCTACAATGCTCTTAAACATTTCAATAGCTTTTATTGTTAAATGAGGAAAAGTCCTTGAAGTCCAGAAAGATGATATTTTTTATATATAATATATTAACTTTTAAGAACAAGATATGGATTTTATGCACATTATATATTAACTTGTGGGCATATGATCAAAAAAAGTGTAATTTCCAGAACTTTTGTGACTCTGTAGAGTATCATTTTGGTATTGGCATCAAAACGAGGGCATTGTATTGGCACTGATATCAAAACATTTTAAACAGTACCCAGCCCAATGAGTAATTTGTAGCTGGAACAAATGAATCAGAACTTTATTTTGATAATTGGATACTTTTTCAAGCAATGATGCCAAACATTCTCTTGTTTCAGACACTCAGTTGCGAGGATTTCTCTTTCTAACAATGGGAGACGTGGTCTTGATTTTGAAATGCACCAGCCACAACTTCCACTTCATCTCCAACTCTACCAGCACTACATTCTTCTTTATCTTTGTCTTTTGTTGTTCTGACTGGAAGACAGATGGGAGGGGGTACAGACACCCCCCCCAATCCCTCTTTACTCGCTAATGGCTTACCTCAGGTGCTTCAGTCCCATCCCAAATCGACCCCTGGCACCCAGCCTCTTCTGCCTCCTCTCCACCTTGATTCCCTCCACTCAGATCCAGCAGGTGTAAGCAGAAGCTGCACTTAGCTGCCTTTTCTATCAGAGGAAAAAATTGATTTGTTTTTATTCATAGGTTTAGCCTCTCCTGGCCACTCTGATCTTGCGCAGAAAGCCTTGGCATTGAGGAGAAAGGCTGTCAGTGTTTTGTCGCTGAGTGTTACAGTGGTTGCGTCAGCAGTCGGGCCACTTGTCCATTTCAGTGTTGGGATGTGAGCGCTGAAGGAAAGATGAAAGGAAGTGGATTTGGAGGACGGCCCAGGTAAGATGAGAGAGAGGAGGGTGGACAGGTGTTTTTTGAAACGGGTGCAATTTTTCTGTCCACTCTGTCTGCCTTTAATCTTTATAGTTGTGATTAAAGGTTGCATTAGGAGTTTGTGTGTTTGTGTTTATCAGCACTTGTTTCTAGATGTCCTGCCTGAACTATTGATCTATGCTGAGCTTTGGTGATTGTTTTCACTATTGAATGCGTTGATTGCCTTTTTTTGCTATTCTCTCTACCCAGATCACGTGGAATATATTATTATGTGAAATAATCTAGGCTGTGACCTCCTCACACCCAGCAGAGCAGGAACTGGGGAGTGATAGTATCTCACCCCTGGGAAACAGATTCATATCATACTGGTGGAGGTGGGGCTTTCAAATGGTGGCAGCAGTGGTAGAAAGTTGTTACGGCAGTTGCAGGATAGCTTTCAGATGCAGCTACAGGACACTTGCTTGTTTATAGCAAAGGTTGTGTGAATACACCGTATGTTGTGGTGACAAATGTATGTTTTATTCTGTCTGAACCAGCTCATAGCTTCAATAATATGTGATTTTTAGTCTATAGAATCAGAGCATATGGCAAAAAGTATCCACAATTTGCCTGATCCTGAATCAAATTCAAAATATAATGCTATAAAACAAAGAATAGAAGCAAATCTTCAGTGACTTAAAATGGTTATTATTACTTATTATCATTTTTGGCAACAGCCGGAAACATATTTGTCCTACATATCCCTTGATTTCTTTCTCACTTACCCTTTTGTACTAATTTCTGGGCCTATTTAAAAAAAAAAAAAAAAAACCTTCTTATATTTTAACTTCAACCCCAAATAAGTATTGCATTTTATTCTGCTCTCCTGTAAAAAGACGTTTTTTTTTACAGTTAATCTCTTCCTCAACACATTGTGTCAGCCTCTGTCATCCCCAGATCTCTATTCTCTCTGTTGATGTGTCCCTCAATTTACGTGTCTCCTGCTCCCTCCCTTTCTCTTCTTTCTTCATTGTCTGACTGCTTGCTTGTTTCTTCCTCTCTGCATTCATCGCTGTCTCTACATGTTCTTTTTTTTTTTCCCCTCTATCTCCCTTCCTTGTCTTTTTAATTCTCTTTTCACTCTCTGGTCCTTTGTCAGCCTGTCTATCTTTGCCTTTTCCTTGAATATCATTCTTTACATACTGTTCTACCTCTATCTCTGCATTTTTCCTTTGTTTTCTTTCTATCTGTTTGATTCCCCCCAGGCAGCCCCAGCAGGTCTATTTTAGTGGTTTACTTTCTGTCTCTAAAGCCCAGGAGATGAATTATTGAGTAGACTGACCCCTGGCTGCACAGCTGCTGTTTGGGTGTGGTGTGTGTTTTGTCTTTTCTCTGTTTCCATTTCAGTTCTTTGAGTGCTTCTGGTCATGTCCCTCTGTGTTTTTGAACCATTAAAATGATTCTGTCTGTGAGTTTGTGTGCATTTTTGTGATGTTTTTGTATGCGGTAGGAAACGTCTGGCTGAGGTGCAAATTGTGCTTACACAAGCTCTTGTTTGTTCAATGTTTCTCAAATGGAAGACATCCAGTATAATTTGTGTGTGTGTGTGTGTGTGTGTGTGTGTGTGTGTGTGTGTGTGTGTGTGTGTGTGTTTGTGTGCGCTGACGTAAGTGTTGGCTTCAGTTGAAAAAAGGACACTTTTACAAAAATAGCAAACCATTTTCAGTCCCATCGTGGGCCAAATTGAATCTTTTTTTAACAGCTTGTCATCAGAAAAAAAACCCACAAAGATGCTCTAAAGGCCTCTTCATGTGTCACTTTTTATTCTATTTTTGCTTCATTTGATCGTCCACTGGAGAGTCAGAAAGTGAATTTGAAGCAGAAAGGAGATGACACATTAACAGGGTTATAGGCTCATTTTGAGCCCATGACATGATGCATACATTTGGTTCAACTTGGTACAGCTGAGCGTCCAGAATGCCCCATTTACTCTGTTTTTATTACATTTAGGTACACCTAGCGAAAACTAATGCAGGCTAATACAACAGTGCAACATGTACATGGATCGAATTGCCGAAGTCTTCTCCTTCATTTTGCATTTTTTAGTTTTATCTTCAGCTGTTTCTCTTATCCAACACTTGACTTATGAAGGTGCAGCGACTCTTTTTATTTTACAGAGGGCACAAATGACTATTCTTGGGGTCGAGTCTGTGATTGTTTCTTTGAGGATTTTTCCAACCTGTAACCGCTCAGTTACACAGTTTGGAATTTTAGTTGTTATGGAGCAAAAGATATAGAGGTTTAAAAAGTTTTGAGTTGCTTTACTTTTACCTTTAGTGCTTTTATATTGTTTGCAGTTGCAATAATACGCAGCAAAGCTTTGTTTATGCATCATCAATCAAAAATGTATTGCATTCGAGATGTTCGTTTCGGTTGTCTTTGAATTTGAAGCTGCAGATATTTCACTGGGAAGCTTTCTTCTCTTTCTTTTTTTTGACAGTTTCTCATCTATTTTGCACTTTCCAAGCTGAACTAATGTTCATCACAGGGGGTTGCTTAAGTAGGGAAATAATGAGAGCAAAAATCTGAGTAGGTGATTTCTAATGAGTGTAAAGAAGTTCAGTTTATTTATTCTTCTTCTAATCCGAGTCCTCTTTGTGTTTGACCACAGGCTGTTCAACCTGACTCTGAAGAAGCTGATCATGCTGAAGGAGCTGGATAAAGACCTCACCTCTGTGGTCATCGCTGTCAAGCTGCAGGTACCATAAAATCTCTACAGCCAGTCAATGAAAACACAAATCCTACTACAGCCTTCTTCTTGAAACCTGACACGATGGATTCTCTCGAGATTGCGTTATTTTGTGATCTCGCAATAAGCATAAAACATAATTTCGGTCAAACTTTTATGAGTCCAGTACCAACACCTGACTACAGGGAAGAAGTTTTTTTTTATGTTTAATGAATTAATCTTTGTAACATGTGATTTAATTAAGTCCTATTAGTCAACAGTTTTTTTTTATTTCATTCATTCAGCAAAATTGTATTAGGACTTGAATTTCACATTGAGTGTGCCAACCCAGTAGATGTTGAAATGTTGCTGAATAAACAAAAAAATTTTAGCGTTTTTTCCATTTTTTTTCATTGTTTTGTCGAGTCAGGTCATTGGATTTGGACACTCCTCTTGGTTTACAGCCAAAGTACTTTCTGCAACTCCTACACAGTCTAAATTAGTTTTTTCCTTTTACTTGAAGGGAGCCTCTTTTAATGTTTCTTGGTCCAGTATTCAATTTCTTGCCAATTAACAGCTTTCTGACTGCCAAGTTTGTAAAGGTTTACATGGATTACCTCAAAAAATACTATGTGTATTGTCAGATTTGGTCTTATTCTTTTATTTCTCCAGCTCTCCTGCTGTGTTGCACTTTTCATTTGTTCACTGTTATCTCCATCTTGTCTATAATTGAAGAGAACACCAACAAATTCTTTGTTGACACATAGTACAATTTAAGATGTTTAAATTCCTCTTTAATGCTGTGGCTTGACTCCCAGTTTCTGCTCCTTGGCTTGTTTTCTCTCCTCACCATCTCCATCTTGTTTCCTATCTAAGTAAACCAATAAATTCTCTGCTGTATTTGGCACATAATACACTTTAAGCTGTTTTAATTCTTCTTCCATGCTGTTGCTGCCACTTGCTCAATCTTCCTCCTCTGCTCCCTCCTATCAGTCAGTTTCCTCTCCTTCAACTCTCTCTTTTCCTTCACCTCCTTTGCTCCCACAGTTCCCTCGCTGCATGCGGTTGATGAGAGTTCATTGTTTTGACTCTGCTGGAGTTTGCTGGGGCGTGCTCACAGTAATCTTTCCATCTCTCCCCACTTTCTTTCTCTGCTCTCATGACGTTCTCTCTTTTGTCTTCTCTCTCGGTTTCTCCTCCTTCTGTCGCCTACTCAGGGCTCCAAGCGGATCCTGCGCTCCAACGAGATCCTGCTGTCCTCAGCGGGGCTGACGGAGACCGACCTACAGCTCACCTTCTCCCTGCAGGTAAAGACAGAGGTTTGGTGAAGTCAGGTGCCTGTCAGTCAAAAGCACACAAAAACTTTGTTCTTTTGTTAGTTTTTTTTTAACTTATCTTCCTTATGAATAGCTGTACCACCACATCAAAAAATGCATTCTCAAATTCTTAACTCTGAAAGTAGAAATGTCACAACTGATGAATTATGCAAAGTTTACAGCTGAACTGTTTAAAATGTCAGGAGCAGATGTCGTGTACCTGCTCTTTTGTAGAAGATCCCATTGGATGAGGAATTATTCTCTGTTTGTTTGCCTAGAAACTGAAAAAAAAAGGCTGTTGAGAGTATCATTAGTTTTATAGGTGTTGGCAAATGAAATTTGTACCTCATGAGGATTCATTCTCTGGGTACCATGCATGCCTGTGCATAACTTTGTTCCAATCCATTTAGTAGATGTTGAGATATTTCGGTTTGGACTAACGTGCCGGCCCGATTAACAAACTGACATATCCACCCCTGGAGCCATGGTGCTACGCTAGCTTGGCTTAAAACAACCCCTCACTGTTCTGCATGAGAGTGGGAGTGAACCATTTGTTGTCCCCCCCCGTATCCGCTGCACTATTCTGGGACACATACAGCCAGGGAGTTCCTTAAGTCATAACCTTTTACACTTGACTTGCATTTTTTTAAAATGGAAGTTAGTGGAATTTACTGCAGAAGAAAACTGAATTGCCACAAGCAACTACAAATACGTTTATGGGGCCACAATAATTAAACAAAAAATGCCATGAGACCCTGGAGGGACAACTGACCAATTAGGTAAAAGGAAAGCCGTTTTTCAGAGTATGTTATGTTTTCAGCCTTGTGCTATTTTTAGCTCGACCCACTAATGGTATTTTATTTTTCCAACTTTGTGTAAAGCGGCCCTATCTGTCATAAACAGCGCCGATCCAAATCTGAATCTATTAATTAGTTTTTGCTTATATAAACATGAAAAATGTTGTGTTTGTTGCACAGGTGCAGAAGATGCTACATGTCATAAACATGAGACCCCTGCATGCATCAGCGCATGCACAGCATTTTACATTCACTTCCTCTGTGCATTCAGGTAGAGCATGGTTCATGTAATTCCCAGTGGGGTTTCTTCTGCTCTAAATTGTCCTTTCCAATTTCCAAGTTTCTAAATGCTGCTCAAAGGTCAGGGAGTTTCTCTCTCTGGATCTTACCGAGTGCAGTGAGCCAGACATTATACATTATACATTAAACTTTCTACAGCAGCAGCACTGCAGAGAGGAAGCCTATTAAAACTGAGCAGCAGAGTGATTTCATGGCTTTGAACATTGTTACAGGAGTCGGTTTTGTTCCATTTATAGTGCAGCCGGTGAGGTTCTTAATGATGGGTTATGTCATAGTTCGGATGTGACTAAGTGGTTCGACACTTAAGGACGCCGGAGACAGGTCAGCGGGTGTGTGAGCGGCTTGTGCAACGAGCCAGTTAGATCGGCCTAATTATCATGACCTGGGAAACAAATGTCATTGCTTTGTCACCTGAACCTGTCTAGCAACTCAGTCACCCCACCGTCAGCCGTTTTTGTGTGCCTGTGCATGTGTTTACTTATGTGTGTATTTGTATCTGCAGTACCCACACTTCCTGAAGAGGGACGCCAACAAGCTTCAGATCATGCTGCAGCGACGGAAGCGATACAAGAACCGGACCATCCTGGGCTACAAGACCCTGGCCTTGGGACTCATCAACATGGCCGAGGTACCAAAACTTGATTCGACTCTTAAGAAATGTAACATTGAAACGTAACATTGAGGTTTAAAAGGATCAGTTTTAAGTCGAGAAAAAGGGACAGTTGTATTAAAAGGTAACATATTGGATCTTCCGTTTATTATTATGTTCATATATATATATATATATATATATATATTCAGGCGTGCAGTAAATTTAATTAAAAAAACAATATGCCCAGTGATGATTATTTTATTTATATTAGTTGAACAGTTTTTTTCTTGATTTAAAAACCTAGGATGATATCTTAATATTGTTTGTCTTCAAACCCTTGAATATTCAGTTTACTATCACATATGATGAAGAAAAGCAGAAACTGAAAAGCTGAAAATGGGGACATTTTCACATGAACAGTTGTTTTAATAGATTATCAAAATAGTTGATGATTTCTACTCTGTCGACTTACTAATTGATTAACTGAATAATTGTTTCAGCTCTAAACTCAACCAACTGTCCTTGATTCAAGACCTTACTTACTGTAAAACATGATAATCAGTTGCAGACAGATTGGAGTTGTTCCAGTTTAAATTGGGTTTAAATAATCTGCTTCTGTAAAAAAAAACAATCCTGGTATTTAATAATTAAAAAAACAGTTAATTTCTAATAATAATATAATTATACATACATAGTATAGAACAATTGCATAAGTATTTTCCAAATGAAGGAATGATTTGGTTGCAGGTTAGGTGGAGGAAAGGCTATAAACATGTACACAAATTCATCTCCTGAAGCTCCTGCTAGGTGCATTTTTATGTATTTTCAGCTCGTAGCACCCCCAACAGCAGCAGATGGAGGTTGAGCTCCATGTTTGAGGGCACGTCAGCTGTGAGTTGTTGAGTCAGCGGAGTCTCACCCTCTTCAGCCAGACAAATGTCCCAGCTGATCTGAGCTGTTGACCCAACAAACTACCGGTCACAGGCTCATTTCCGTAAACATAAAGCCTCTGCCTTCTGCTCCAGCCCAATCTCAGTTTAACTTTGTTTTGCTAAGAGTAATTGCAAAGTGATTTTTAACCTAATGTCAACCAGATTAAAGGAAATGGTCTTCTCTCATGCAGACTACCTACTGCTAACCTTCATTTAACTTTCATCTTAACTCAATTCAAGCAAGTACACTTTAAAACCAAACCTGGATTTTGATCTTTGGCCCAGCGCTCTCTTCTCAGCCACCATAAATGTCGCCATAAATCAGATTCCCAATTAAATTCGAGCCTCTTCTGCCAAAAGCTCCACGCATTCTCCGTCTCTCACAATATGAAACCTTTATAAAATGGCTGTGATTAATGCTGTGTGTCTGTACTTGTGTGTGTTTGTGTGCGTGTGCACATGTGGATGTTCCTTGTACTTAACGAACGACTGGTGGCTTTTCATTGGCTTTGTCTGTACGAGAAGTTAGAAATATTTACAGTGTAAAACACCTTGAACAAACTGGCTCACCACAAAAGACTTTATGGAGAGAAAAGGACATAAATACAGATCTAATCAAGAGGTAGGTTTGATCTCCAGGATGTTTACACTGTAGTTAGTCTTAGTCTTTTATCAGGAACGAATAAACCAAATATAGCATTAAAAGAAGCTGATAGAGTAGATGAATAAAGACATTATTCTTGTGAACTTTAAGCCAAACTCCCAGCTCTTTTTTTTAATCTAAAATAGCGTGCTGCTTCAGTTTTTGTGATGCCTACTGGCTGTCTAAGGCAATATAAAGTAAAATTTTATTCATGAAGCTCTTTCAGCCGACAGGTAGTGCTGCAAACTGCTTTACAGAGGGCAAAGGACACAAATGCAAACTCATACGCATGACAGGTTCAAACTCATTTCCTTCACGGTCACAGTAAAGGTTTCTGCAGAATGAGCTCTGCTGGTCAATTCTGTGTAAAGCTCTGCGTGTATGTCAGAAAAATAATATGCTATAGGGGGACACACTCAGGTTTTTCGGTTCATATATTCTTATCCAAAATGTCATTCTGATGGCATTGTGATTCTGTAATGTGACAGGTAGTTTCCACTGACCCAGCAGGTATTGTGAGGATGAACTGTTGAACCTGTTCAGAAATTCAAAAATGCTTTGCTTATAAATTTGAGCTTCTGAGTACAGATTCTTCAAAATGAAAAACATTGTAAAGCAGGACCACAAGTTGTTGTTACACAGCAATCTCACATTGAAGTTGCCCTAATTTCCCAGGATTCTCTTGAGTCAGTTGCTTGAAAGACATCATCGTGTATCATCTGTGACATACTATCTTGTAACTACATGTTGATACTACGATAGCGACAAATACATTGCGTGGTGCTAGAACTGCGATTGGCTGCTTGTCTTTTGTCTTACGAGTTTGTGATGTTGGTGCAGATTGTTGACTGTAAACAGCTCAAAGGAAACTGAAGACTGATGTTATTTCCTGTTCAGTAATGCACATCATGCAAAAAACATTGCACTGCAGACCTCCTGCTCATTGCTCTGGATGAATAAATGAAGGTAAACATGGCGAATGCACAGCAGTAGTTTCCTATTCAGTGTTGAGACATGGCGAAATAGCATTATATGTGACCTGGATGTAACTCCAGTTCTGTAAGTATGTGTGGTGCCCTTTATTTATCCAGAGGGATATTGTTGAATTATTAATTATTATAACCTACACTGTATGTCTACAGCAGGACTCTAGTTAACCCCTTGCAATGCTTCTAAATCCATCTTAAAAGCACAAGGCCAGTTACACAGCATCTTTCTAAAGTTTGCTAACATTAGCAACAGTCAGCAACACTAAAGATGAAAGTTGAAGGTGATTAGCAGTCTTAATCTCATACTAGACCAAAGCAGCAAACCCCTCCTTGAATTGAACAAGGCTGGTTTTATTTGGGTTTTATTGCATATGATTTAATTCAACTTGTATTTGTGATAGACAGATAGTGTTATTTATATGCAGTAACATAGTCTCACTTTAAAAGAAAAGGAAATAGGGTGCAAACTTTGCACATATGTCTTCACACATCACTTTGAAAATGTCAGCTGTTAAATGTGTCACCACCAAAGAAACGAAGAAAATTACATAAAAACATAAAGGTTTTTTCATATATTGCAAATGTGCTTTTATGATGCTGAGAAATGGCCAAGATCCAGAACCCATCTTTCATGACAGAGTTGCAGAGTTTTTTTTTTTTTTTTGCAATCAGTACCCATCAGAGTCGTTATAAGCACTTTCATTGCATTTTTCTGCCCTAACATCACTTAATTATGCAACATCATGTAATCTTTGAGGGTTTTTTTCCCCATTCAACTAATATTTGCATAACTTCACCTCACTCTGCTTTAAATTTCCTCTTGCTTCCTCAGGGCCACCCAGAGCACATAATGCTGGGTAGTAATGGAAAATGAAAATAGTCACACTTATTATTTGCATGATAAAAGTATGTTTTAGAATGAATTCCCTACCTGTTGCTGCAGCAAGAATACATTACATAAGTCAAGGCAGTGAGCTCCGTTTCAGAAGATGAACCAATACATCCATGAGTGGATTTAGACTCTTCGTGGTGAAAATTGGCGACAGGGGAGAAAAAAAAAAAAGTTAAATTACACCAGTGTTTCTCATTAAATATGTATATTGCATCGTGATGTTTGCCTTGCCAGATTTGCATAATTGTCTTTCTGACTGGAAAATATATCAAATTAACTGCTGCCAGGAAAGCTAGCGACAGCCTTTGAGGCAGGTTAGCTGAACCTCATCCAAGTGGAAGGATGTACAGCAGTAACGTCTCTCTTTAATGTGTGGTTAGGGCTGTCTCCATAATAAGCTGCTCAGACTTCATTAGCTCTCTGAGTGTGACCAGACTGCTGAGAGAGGCTGGATGTCACTCAGTTAGATGCACAAACACACACACACACACACACACACACACACACACACACACACACACACACACACACACACACACACAGACAGGAGACGTGGTGCTGCTGTTTGCTGCAGAGAGAAATTATTTCTGCCGCCTCACATGTTCATTTCTTCTCTGTGGTCGTCTGTGACGGTCTCTGGTTTTGTTAATCCCATACTGCTATTTTAGTTTATCTTCTTCAGCCTCCTTTTTTCTCCTTGTTCCATTACCATCTTCCTCTCAACATCTGCTTCCTGTCTGTCCTCATTTCGTTGCTCACTGCTGTCTAACCTGTCTGACTGTCTACAGAGCCTTTTATTTGAGTCTCTCTCGTCTGTCTCTTCCTCTTTTTCCTCTTCCTCTAATTTAAATCACATCGAGGGTTTATCCCTGCTTTGGGTATATGAGGACCACGATTTAAATAAGTCTCTTTTTTCCTGAATATTTGATCTGACGTTTTTTCATCTGACTTTCTTTCCCTCAATAATTGCCTATTTCCCATTTGCATTTCACTATTTTAGCATTCGGATGCATCTAAGAAAGCAGTTCCTTTATGGAGCATATCAGGAATTTAATAAAACCACATATTCAGAGATAGGGGGGAAAATCTGAATTAAATTTAATCAGAATCACTTGTATTTATTGTCAAGTAAGTATTGACAAACATGGAATTTGCTTTGGTATTTTCAACAATAAACATAGTAAGAGAAAAGAAAAAGAAAGTACTGGAAATGTCAAGAAAGAAATAGAAAATAGAATAGACACCGTAAATATGATTTCTTTAAAAGTTTTAAAGGTTGCATATTACATAGTTTTTTTGTAAAGGTTGTAGGCTGTCTGGACAAAACAGTTGGATAACCACAAATTTAATGCACCTCACTCTAATGTCATCTGACTCTCATCTGTTTTTTTGTCCAGGTGATGCAGCACCCCAGTGAGGGGGCCCAGGTCCTGGGGCTCCACAGCCAGCTGAAGGACGCGTCGGTGCCCGTCGCTGAGATCCGAGTCTACTCCCTGTCCAGCCAGCCCATCGACCATGAGGGACCCAAAGCAAAGATGTCTGGTGAGCACATCGTCTCGCCACATCTGTCTGTCCTCCTTTTCTTTCAGTGTGTCCCTATTCTTCATATGTCCTCTGTCTCTCCAGATCGCTCTCCAGACATTGACAACTACTCTGAAGAGGAGGAAGAGAGCTACTCGTCAGAACAGGAAGGCAGCGACGACCCCATTCATGGACAGGTGTGTTTGGATAACAGATTATTATTTTAGCAGCTGATTCATCTCATGGTTACTCTTACCTTTCGTAAGTCAATTTGTCAGCTTAGGAAAAAGTGTAAACAATGTCATTGTTCACATTTGTTCTTAATATGTCCTGTGATTTACATTTTAAGAGAGAGTGCTCTGCAGTTCTCAACAGTATTGTTTTGCTTAAATATTAAGTTGTTGTTTTTTTTTTTTAAGATGCCATAAATTAATAAGGCCCTTTCTGGCTTTTTGGTTATTTAAGCTTTATACGGTATTAAAATGTATAACATTAAGATATTTTAAAATTTTTAATACACACAATTCCCTTTTAATGTTCACATTCATTACCATTTTACTGCAATTTTTTTGCAATTTATATCCACTGTGACAGGATCGGTGGTAAAAATAAGACATCCTAACTGCTTTTCGACATGCTGACATTCTGGGCAAATATTTTCCATTTATATGTAAAATAAGTACAGAAAAATAATCTTTAGGAAATGTAAATCTGTGTTTTCCTTATTCATAGTGAACAGGGTCTCTGTGTTTGACCACCTCGTTTCCATTGTCATTCGTTCCTGTTGCAGAAGATCACAAACAGACTGGTGTGAGCACAAGCAGAGAGCTTGTGGTATTTATTTTATTGTGTCACCTTCTCATTCTTGGCTCATGAGAGATAGAGTGACTGCGCTCAGGGGACGCGAGGGGAATCGGCGCCCATCGGTGCGCGAGATTGGCGGAGAGAGTGAAAGGAGCAAACAGACAGCGGAGAGAGATATGAAGGGAGCAACAAGGCTTTGGAAGCCGATTGAAAAGACTGAAAGGAGGGATGGAGGGAAGCGGAGCGGTGCGAGAGCAGGGGGGGAGGTGGTGCGGGGGTGAGGGAAGCTAATTCAGGACTGGAGCAGTGAGACGAGACAGAATAAAGGGGAAAAAGTTAAACCGGTCACGGCTGGTGTTTCAGTTTATAATTAGGATCTTTTTTGTGTAGGTCTGGTGATGACTTCTCTCTGTAATAATAATATTGTCATCAAGTCAGTTGATCTGGGACAACGGCAACATCACTAAAAAGAAGTTAGACGTTAGGTCACGAAGCATGGGAGGTCAGACAGTCTTACAGGTTTTATTTTTTGCCCTGTTTCACTTAGTTGTCAAACCATTGTCCCAAATCTCTGCAATACTTGGAGTACAATGTGATCATAACCGATAGAAACAGCGACCAAAATTTGGAAATTATAAGATACTGCTGGTGGTGTTCTATATTTTTGTCAACAAAGACTTCCCTAACCTGTCTGTGGCGCCTGGTCTCTACTAAAGATGTAAAAATGTCTCACAAACATGTCGTTTCATTTAAAAAAATGTCTCATTCTTCAAACAGTGAGGGAACTGTAGTTTTTATCAAATGTTTACTCAAACAAGACTAAATAGTGGATTTTTGGGGACTATTTTAATCTGTGCATGAATACACATTTGCCCTTGAGCTTATCTACAGAACCCAGACAGTGTACTGGAAGTGCCCATGTCACCAAGTGCAACAATGTGATCAGACTATATCGGCTAGTAGGATTAATTCATTGTTGTTTTTGGTCTTTTTAATGGGATTTGTTTACAATGAGAAACATAGAGTATCATCAGCCTTTTCCTTTTAAAACTCAAGTTGTAATAATCCAGAAATAATCAGTACAGTATTACAGTAATTACAACGCCTGTTTCTTTCTCCTCCTCTCTCCTTTCCCGGTCTACCACTTTTTCTCTCCTTGTGTTTCCCTCCTCTTCCTCTGTCTCAGTATCTATACGACGAAGAAGAGGAGGTGAGGAAGAAGAAGCCGAGGCGTAAGCTCCCCTCCAATGCCGCCATCACCAGAGTAAGAAAAACACCGCTCTCACCTTATCCATCTATCCTCCTCCTCCCTCCCTCTCTGGCTTTTCTATCCCTACCTGTTTGTTTTGTCTGGAAAGCAATTTGCTGCAAACCTCCTTCATGTAAAAGCCCTTTCAAATAAATTTAATTCGACTGGACTCCCCCTCATGTGCCTGCTGCCTCACCTCATTCAACCTCCCCTGTCTCTCTCTCTCCTCTCTGTATTTGCTCCTCTCTCTCCGTCTCTCTCTTTCTCTCTCCACTTCCCTCCCTCCCCTGTTGTTGGTTTTTCTATAAATCCATTTTCTCCTTTTCATTCTCGACACATGCAATTCAGGCCAGTTTTCCTGGAGGAAAACATTAGTGTCTGCAATAACACTAACCACTACTTCACACACACACACACACACACACACACACACACACTGATATATATATATATATATGTATGTATATATGTGTATATATATATATACACACAAACAGTCAGCAGGAACACCGATTAATACAAAATTGTCGGCAACCCTGAAAATTATAATGGACCTGCAATTACAGACCAAAGGAGAGCAGCATATTTATATTGTGTGTGTGTGTGTGTGTGTGTGTGTGTGTGTGTGTGTGTGTGTGTGTGTGTAGCAGCAGGAGTTTGGCTCAGCAGGTCATTAATGGAGCGCTCCTGTGGAGGTCTCCATGAGACTGTCACTGCTGCTCCCTAACACCACCGCCTGTGGACAACACACACACACACACACACACACACACACACACACACACACACACACACAGTCGTTTTCATCACTTCAGAGGACATTACATTGACTTACCCTATCTCTAATCATAACTACTACTTGCCTAACCCAAAACCTTATCCTAACCTTATAGGTAAGTCTTGAACTTAAAATTGAATGATTGATGTTATAGGGACTTGCGTTCTGTTCGCATATATAAGGCAAGTCCCCACAATGTGACTGTGTAAACATACATACATACACACAAAATAACCACAATTTCTGCACTGCTGCAGTGGGAGAAAACACATGTTGAACATAAATACACACTCAAAAGCAATTACAACAGACCCTCTGCCCTGTACTGCACTTGACAAACACACACACACACACATATAGAGAGAGAGAGACAGAGAGAGAAACATTTACATCCCTTGAGTCCAGCTTGAAGTCGACCCTCTCCACTTTCTAGCAGCAAACTGGGACACAACCTCCAAAACACTACAGCTCTCTGCAGCCACTCAGACATCCACTTATGTTGCTGATGAAAGCTTCGCTCAAAGCTGATTGTCACCAAAAAACACCCAGATTTTTCAAAAGGAGCATTATTGTTTACATTTTTCCGCCCAAACTAGGTTGGTGGGTTTCTTTCTATAACAAGATGCTGTTCATCACGGTGTACAGGGAAATGCTTCAGCTAATAGAAAGTAAGCAGAGAAACTGAGGAGAAATAAGCTGCTGTTTATACACCAGAGTCCCTCTTAAACTGCTGATTATTATCTATACTCTACATGCCTTCTGCCCACATACTTCTGCACATTTTCCTGCACTGACAGGACAAAGGGTGATGTCCAATTATAAGGTATCAACTAATTCATGTTTCATTCTGTCACCAACAATCAGGATCCCCACAACTTTCTCTCTGGCAGGAAAATTAGTAAAGGTCACTTTCATCGGCTACATCTGCAAGCATGCCAGTCATCTAATCATAATGCTGCGCTGGCAGTAATGCAAGTAGAGGTGGAGTCCATATAAACACGAAGATAATGGGCAGTGTGTATGTTATCCTATATCATGATATTTCTAATTTTATTTTTTATAGTATATCGCCATATGTTACCATACATCGGCTGCCCCCAACATGAGATTTTCCTAGTCGACTATTAGTTGTTAGTTAAAGCCAATAGTCAACTAGTCGTTGCAAGTTTATGACATTCATTTAGTTATTTACATATATAGTTGAACAGCCGCCGGTTTAATGACAAGAAAGAAAAAAAGCGGTAATGATTCTGAATGTGTCGGAACAACCAGCAAAGGAGACTGAACATTTTATGACACACAGTATAACGTCACACAAAAGTCGTTGTTCAAAACATGGCATAAATAACTTCCAACTTCACAAAAACCAATACTCATGGACGTTAACAGTTAAATTGCTCCTCTTCCTACCTTTGCATTCCTCTCCTGTCCCTGCCTAATACCGCCGTGTCTTCATCAGCAAGAGTTGGTAGCGACCATAAACTGAGCTAAAAGAGAGTGAACTCGTGACTAACCGTCAAGTTGCCAGAAACATGACTCTAAATGAATACCAATGTTGCTTCTCCATATTAGCTTTAATAGGTCAATGTCACAACTTGTTGCCAGGTGGCCTGAAAATGCAGGTTGTTTAAATACAAAGTTTTGTCTGAAAAGGTGTGAGCCAAAAATAATTTATGCAGTTGAAGATCCACTGACTTATATAGAAAGTCACAGTCTAGCTAACAGTCATATTTTCAAGTCTTTTCAAACAAAGCCTATTTGAATAAAACAACCCTGAGCTGCTGAGTCACTTTTAATAAACTTTACATGTACCATATCTTCCATTTCAAATAATCCCGCTTGTTAAATAAATAAGCAACCCTTTGTACTTATTCAGGCGAACATCTGCAACGGGAGGTGTCGACTTGATAACCTCAAAAACACTCACGCTCTCCTCTCCCATATTCCAGTTTAATAACACAAGTCACACCCGAGCCTGCACAGAAACATCTGCATAGATAAGACTTTCGCTTTATGTGACGTACAGAAATATGTCCTGGTGCTGTATCCATTAACTGCTGTTGTTTTGATTCACCAAGCGTGAAAAGAGAGCTCAGAAATTACCGTTTTATCCTGCTCCTGTCATCTCTCTCTGCGCCATACATCCCCTTTTCCCTCACACACACAGATGTGAACATCCATCTTCTGAGCGCCTCTTTCTTTTTCCCCATTTTCTTTCTCCGCAGCAACCCAACATCAAGCAGAAGTTTGTCGCCTTGCTGAAAAGGTTTAAAGTCACAGATGAGGTGGGTGCTGTTTTCTCACTTTTTCTCCCCCCAGCGTCTCGTGGCTTCTGCCCTTCTGATATCACTTATATCACACAGCAACACTTCCACTTCATGTGCGAGGCTGAGGGCGTGTATTTTGCTGAAGTCGACGTGTATTTCAGTGTTGGCTTTGAAGACACAGAGGTGTGTGTGTGTGGGAGAAATGTGGCAGAACAACTGAGAGTCAGCTGGCAGCTCAAAGAAACACTAAACATTGTCGATTAAAATAGAAACAGAAATGTGTCTGTGTTTAATGCGTTTATGTGCTTCTGGAGTGATTCCACCAAAACGTGTGTGTTTGATCTCGCTGTCTGTTTGTGTGTTTTGCTTGTCTGAACACGGTGGTGTTTGTGTGGTTGCTTTGCTTCTGTTTGTCTTTTTTAACCCACATTTTTGCCTAAATATGTATAGCGTTTGTGTGCTCCTGTGGCACTACGTGGGCACTACGTGTTTCCTATTGTGTTTATTTTCTTTGTGTTTTGCAAAATAATGTTGGATTTATTAATTCTGTATTTTTTTCCTTTGTTCTCCTTTCACATCTGTTTTATATCTTATCTGCCTTCAATTAAAATACCGATCCTCACTTGCCAAAATATACAAATTCAAAGATAAGATACATTTTTAATATATCTAAAAGTCTATACAAATGTATATAGATTTTTATGCTATTTCTTACGTGCAGATGAGCTTGTACCTTTATGATGATAAGTACTGATGATCATAAGTACTGCTCATGATACTATTATTATTACTTTCCCCATTTTTGGAAGCAGTTTTGCTTAGATTACGGCCTCTGTTATGATAACCGTTACCAGTATTTCTTTTAACTGTTATTTGGTGATGCATTGAATCCATGGGATTACTTTTGGTGCCAATATTGACCTTGTTAGATGGATAATTCCAGTTTATTACAACAATGCTCACATTGTGTTCACCAAGTTAATTGCTGGGATTTGGGAACACGGTGATGCTGCTTCAAATAATTTGGAAAGAAACACAAGCAGATGATCATACGCATTTTAATGAAACCCTCAGCTAATCCTACTTTTTAAAATAGAAATGAGAAGACGTTATTACCCAAACAGGCTGTCAGTTTAGCCAATTTGGTATTACTTTGTGTAGTTTTCTTGTGGAAAGAGGGGTTATTACCGACATTTCGGGTGTGCTCCCTTTTCAGTTCCCAGTAAAGAGATTTAGATCATCTGATTCGACTTGATAGCGATGCTGCTGCCATGTTCCCGGATGTCAGTATTTAAATCGTACCTCAAAATTCTTAAAATATACTACGTTTCTAGCAGAGATACACAAACTTACGCTTAAAATAAACATAAATGCAGGTGTTACTTAGAAATTCACCAATCTGATATACTGGATCATTCTTGGTGCTGACAATCCACATTTTTAAGTCACATGAGAATCCTGGCCGAGTTGATGTTTAACAAGTCGCTTCTTTCACTTTTACTTTTCACCATGTGTAAATTCTGAGACTGGCAGAGCCTTGTGAAACAAACTGTCAGCAAGCTGTGTTTGTTATTACTGCTGAGATCAACATAGCTCTTCTCTGTATGGAAGGTCATTACTGCTAAGGAGACACTTTTTTACTGCGCGTGTAACCGTTGGTCACTTGTCTCCTCTGTGTCTCGTCCAGGTTGGTTTCGGCCTGGAGCATGTGTCGAGGGAGCAGATTCAGGAGGTGGAGGAAGACCTTGACGAGCTGTACGACAGTCTGGAGATGTACAACCCCAGCGACAGCGGCCCTGAGATGGAGGAGACCGACAGCATCCTCAGCACACCCAAACCTAAGCTACGGTAATAACACAGGCTCAGATGTAATATCACTAATCACACAATAACAGTACACATAGTCACCTAGCTAGACATATCTATCCAAACACTATGCTTGATACATGCAGTACCTGCAAACACTGACTCACTTTTCTCCATTGACAATTCAGAGCCCCCTCTGTTGGTGAAAACCACTCATTGCACTCATATATTGAAGTTTATTTGAGGTTCATGAACCAGAATTGGGTCAGTTAACTTTAAATCCTCGAAATATGAAAAGAAATTTATTGATTTATAAAGCTCTAAACTAACTCGCAGCTGGGGGTGTGATCTTCATTATTTTCAAAAAAGCCTAAGTAAGTAACTGGATGAGTCAAAAATTAAAAAAACATATTCTTATATTAATAATACATTTCAAACGGAGTCAGAGAGAAACAGGTGAACCATTTTTAAATAGTTCTTCAAACTTATTTTAATCCTCTCTTGTAATTGTATTTCATGTACTTTCTATTTCGTGTTGGACTTTGCCTTTTTTTGCCTCTGTATCCTTTTTTGATAATACTTTATTTGTATGGTCCACCTACACAGAATCTCAACTATTAAGCTGTTGAATTGTTACAAATAAAGCACACAAAATAGCATTATTTGATAGTGGAAGGCGGCTCTATAACTGGTTATATTGTTGTGTCATAAAACTTGAAAAGCAAAGGAGCTTGATAGATGAAATATGATGATTCATGAGACACTGCCACAGTTCTGTTAAGGTTTGTTTTAGAAGCCAGCAATAAAAGATAATAGGCCTTTTTCATTGAAGACATTTTGACACATTACAGTAGAAAAGCACAGGTATAATGTTTCAGGGTCCTGGTATTGTGCATTCTGGCTCACTGGGACACTTGAATACAACTGAGTCATCATTAATGTTATTGGTAACACCGGAGCTCTTCCTGCTAAGAGAGGTCAAAATGTCCGCTGTGGCAATTTTAACAAAGTCTCCTCATGTTTCTGTCTCCATGTGTTCAGGCCTTTCTTTGAGGGAATGTCCCAGTCCAGCTCCCAGACGGAGATCGGCAGTCTGAACAGCAAAGGCAGTTTGGGCCGAGACATTTTCAGTCCGGTGAGTAACTCAAGTCCACGGGGGAAGCATCAGCAGCAGCAGCTGCATCATCAGCAGGAATTTCACTTATGTGAGCTGTGGATCGTTTGTGTGGTGCTCAAGAAAACCTGAACCCCCTGTGGTGGGTTTTTTTCCTCCGTCTCACCAGGAGCTTAGTGCAGTAAAACTTTATCGTCCCCAAAGGACGTCTGACTTTACAGAAAGATCTCATTTAAACTGTGTACAAAAGACACGGGTTTCAGGTGCAGTACACGCACCACAGGACTACATAAAACCTGAAAGATTTTCTATAAATGAATGATTGCTGATTTGAAGTTTTTACGGCCATCATTTCTATGCTATAAAACCTCTGTGAGCTGTTTGCATTTTTCATCACATAAATAACAAAATAAATCTGAGGGGTAGTAATGGCGTAGAAAAAGCAGAAAAAAACATTTGTGCTTCACAAAACTAGGTTGATTTTTTTCAGATTTTCTTCAAATTAGCTTTTTTTAAATGAATTAGTGGGTAAAGGTTGCTCTTCAGGCCTTTAAAAACTATTAGATTAGGCAATCTGAGAAAGAATAACCACTCTTTAGTTGAACTGGTCACAACCATTCAGCATATGCAATATACAGTATGATGGGTGGAAGTAGATAGAAGGGATTATAAACCCAAAAGATGTCGTAGATCATTGATCCTGGCCCTTTGAAGCTGAATCAAACATTTGGCCCTTTTTGCCTTCAACTTATTTTGTTTTGATCAAAGATTTTTTTTTCCCCACAGCTATATTAATAAGTAATTGCATTTTTTTCTCCCTTCCTAGCTTCTGTAAATGTAGTTTTTTTTTTTTCATTTTAATTGTAATTTTATTCAAATCAAAACATTTAAGCATCATGGGAATTGTTGCCATAATTCCATCTGCCTCATCCTGCAGTGTAGAAATCCTTCACACATAAATGTTGTCATAATAACTTAATTCACATAGCACTAACCTAATACTCATTTGCTTCACACTCATGGTTTCCATGTGGCAATATAATAAACTGTACTAAAACAGTGGCACTAAATAGCATACAGTAACATTCAACGTTGTAAGAAATCACCATAAAGTGAAGAAACACAAGCTTTGAAAGCAACATGCGGCTCTGCATTGATGTGGTAAACATCCAGAATCTGAAGCTCATGAAAATCGCCCAGCAGGGAAAGTAGTTTGCGAATATAACATTTCAGAAATGTTTTCTTAATGGAGCACAAATCCAATAGCTCTTTGACAGTCGCCATCTGCTCAATAAAAAGTGTGTTTAATTTAGCCGAGCTGAATGGATTTCACTGGATGTCTCTCTGCTGCAGTTCCTCCTTTCATAGTAATACTGAAGTGAGCCTTTTACTGTTTTGACTAATGTCTGCACACTTCCTAAAAACAGTGGAAACGTCTGCTTCTGTTTCAGTAGATAGTTTTAAATCCAGTTTTTTAGTGTGAAACACTGCATGTTGCAAAAAAAAAAAACAGATGAAAATAATATGTTCTGGACATCACAGCTGTTATTTTAGATGCGTTTTTCCTCCCTTTTGCTGCTTACTAACTTCTGTTCCTTTTATTCACTGATTCTCAAACCTCATTAAGCCTGTAGACTGACCACTCCTTGTCTTTCCAGCAGGGGGAGCAGCCTTCTCTAGAGAAGATGAAACCCTCCCGCAGCCGCAACCTGGAGGAGGCGTTGTCTGAGACCGACACACTGGTACGACTCTTATAATGTGTGTGTGTGTGTGTGTGTGTGTGTGTGTGTGTGTGTGTGTGTGTGTGTGTGTGTGTGTGTGTGTGTGTGTGTGTGTGTGTGAAGGAGACAGAATTAATGTTGTGTCGGGATCTTTGTTAATATCACTCCGGAGGGGATTCGCTGCCATCTGTGCTGTAAGTGAGACAGATTGAGAGAGACTGAGAAGAAAAGGAGGGAAAAAAAGTGATAGAGTGACGGAGATGATTGTTTTAGGATTCCCAGTATCTCCTTTTTCTGACACCGACAGTCTGTCTTTGTGTGTGTGTGTGTGTGTGTGTGTGTGTGTGTAGGAGCTTTTGTTTGTGTGTTTGTGTGTGTGTGTGTGTGTGTGTGTGTGTGTGTGTTTGTGTGTGTGTGTGTGTGTGTAGGAGCTAACAGATCAGGAGCTGTTTGCTGAGGTGGGCCCCTGCATCATGGTGTCAGTGGCAGAGAAACCCCGTACACCCCTGAAGAGCAGCAAAAGTGAAACCCAGGCCATGCCATCACCAAGGTAACCAATCACCCCAAAATTACAAAAAAAAGTATAAAATTTGAATATAAGTTAAATGCATAACTTTTAAATTAAATATTCAGGCCTTTTTAAAGAAAAAAAAACATAAATTTACTGACAAATTAACACTGATTTATTCATTTATTCCTTTCCTTTCAATCCAACACACTGATTCAGCCTTTCTTGGTCTGAAATGACCAGTCACATGGTGGCTACTGTTAGCTTCTTAGCTAGAAGATGACATTAATGAGTCACTTTCCTTTTTACAGTCCTATTTTCCTTGCTCTCAGTCATGCCACCCAGTGATAATGTCTTTCAAAGCAGCTGAATCAAAAGAATCTTTAGGAAAGAAGGGAAATTCTGTGTGATATTAGCCTACAATTGCCAACAATTTGGACCATTGTTCAGCCAAAGTCATAAGGTTTCACAATATCAACCCAGAAGTGGCCAAACCCGACCGATATGGGCTATCAAGAACTTTGTTACATACTGTGTCTGTGAACCGGAAACCAACTTGTGGATATGATGTCACTCTCTGCACATATATGTGTGACACACACCCACACACTCACCTCACCTCTTTCTTGTGACAATCAATGGTTCCAGGTTCACTTTCTTTCATAAAACCGTGACATAAACATTGGTTTGGGTGTCAGGCACCTTTTATCAGTCAACTACATACGTACGCGATGCAAGTTTTAAAAATAAGCGAGCTATGATTAGTAGGCGTCCAACTTACAGTCTTGTCATGTCTCTTAGGCAATAATTTATTTGCTTCTCAGAAGGAAGAAATATTGTGTGGTCTGTTCCCTGCATTTAAAACAGTTTTTAACTATGCTTTCCATCCCACCCCAGGTTGGACGGAGGACACACACCCCGACAGAAGCGTGTCAGCACTCCAATGAAGGAGAGACAGCTGTCCAAACCTCTGAGTGAACGGACCAACAGCTCGGACTCGGAGAGATCCCCGGAGCTGGGACACAGCACACCAGTGAGTTAGCCTTTTAACAAAGACACTTTCCAGGATCTTATCATGAGTTACAGCATCATTTTAACCCCAGCATGCAGAAAATAAATCATATTGCGCATCAGAGGGATTTACACTTTAGCTGCCTTTGTTTTGTGTCCTCCTCCACCCACTCTCTTCTTGTCTTTTCCCCAAGTAAAGAATGTATCCTGATAATCTACGACTCGCTTGGAGCTCAGACATGAATTATGCATGTGCATGATGAGTCATCTGCAGAGTAAATTTGTCGCTGTAGGGTGGTTTATGTACTCAACATATATATGTGTGTGTACGGTGTGTGTGTGTGTGTGTGTGTGTGTGTGTGTGTGTGTGTGTGTAGCTCCTGAGGAAGGTAGTGTACGACCAACTAAACCAGATTTTGCTGTCCGACTCTGCGCTCCCAGAGAGCCTCATCTTGGTCAACGGCACTGACTGGCAGGGGCAGGTAAGGCTAAAGAGTGTGTGTGTGTGTGTGTGTGTGAGAGAAGCCTTTTCCAACATCTGCTTTGTGGTTTTCATCAAACATCTTACTCCTTGTGTGTTCGCAGTATGTTGCAGAGCAGCTGCAGGTACAGAGACACCCTGTGGTCTGCACGTGTTCGGCGGCCGAAATCCAGGCCGTGCTGTCCGCTGTGCTCACTCGCATCCAGAAATTGTGAGTATTTTTCACACAGACACACAGAAGAGCACACATTCTGAGTTGGTTTGCAGGATGACTCATGTTCTTGGTTTTTTTTGCCGCTCTAAGCCTTATTCTTTCAGTTCGACCCTTTTTTCATCTTCTCATCCATCCTCCACATCTCTCCCTCCTCCTCATCTTTGCCCTTATGACTCCACTTTACTTTTGTTTATGCCAAAACAATGCTTCATGTATCTCCCTTATCTTTTCCTTCTTCTTTCTCCATCTCTTGACCCTCCTGTGTGTGTGTGTGTGTGTGTGTGTGTGTGTGTGTGTGTGTGTGTGTGTGTGTGTGTGTGTGTGTGTGTGTGTGTGTGTGTGTGTGTGTGTGTGTGTGTGTGTGCCTCTCTCTCTCTCTGTTTACTTTACTGGACTTGAATGTAAAGGAAAATAGGGGATAAAGAAAAAGAAAGCAGTGGCGGTTAAGATACAAACTTGTTACAAACAGATTATATCCAAATATGTCAGAGTTGTTTTGGTTTTATAAAGAAAAGTATATTTTTCATTATCAGTCACTGTCATAAAATATATATATATATATAATAATAAAAACATTTATTATATCTAATTTTATGCCTTATTTAGTTTAAGTTATTTCTTGAGGCAAAATGCCAAACACTCACAATTTGCAGCCTCCCAAATGTAAGGATTTGCTAATTTTCACAGTTTTTATATGACTGTAAATTAAATATCTTTGGGTTTTGGACAGATTTCTAGACAAAAGACGTTTTTTAAGATGTCATATTGGACAACCATTCTTCTAGACTTCACATTTAAGGAAATGTATCTCTACATACATCCCCCGGATGGTTCACATGATTTCATATAGCAACCTCTTTCAATCTTAAGTTTGAATTTCTTATTTCTATGTTGGTTAGCTGAATTTGAGGGATTTGTAGCATGTCAGTTTTCTGTGTGATTTGTTTTCTTGTCTCCACTGTTAACTACAGTCTTTCTGAAGGTGTTTTTTCAAAGGCCTTGATGGATGATACAGTGTGATGAATTTCCAGTCGATCCACTTCTTTACAACACCACTCACTCTCTCTCTCTCTCTCTCTCTCTCTCTCCCTGTCTGTCTCTGTAGCTGTAACTGTAACTCGTCCATGCCTAGAGCGGTGAAGGTGGCGGCGGTGGGCGGCCAAAGTTACCTGGGAGCCATCCTGCAGTTCTTTGTCACTCAGCTCGCCAACAAAACATCCGACTGGCTTAACCACATGCGCTTCCTGGTTGTGCCTCTGGGTAAGAGAGTCTGCTTGTGTTTCCATGGTGATTTAAGAAGTTCTTGCAGAGTCATGCTGCAGCAAGGTTTTATTATTCTGGCTAGAACTGTTTGGGGAGCGACAAACCCTCTGTCCTTTCATTTTTTGGACATGATTGCACACAGTCTGCATTTGCTGTGCTACAATTGCACCTCCATTAAAAGTTGGCTTCACTTTATGTTTGAGGGATGACATGCTCGCTTTTTATTTATACTTTTTGTTGTTGCACTTCTAATCCAAATCAGGCTCCCATCCGGTTGCCAAGCACCTCGGGGCCCTTGACAACCGCTACAGCTCTTCCTTCCTGGACGGGGCTTGGAGAGACGTGTTCAGCCGCTCTGAGCCGCCACAGACAGGTACCACCCGTCTGTCATACAGATAAACAACGGATGATGATTGAATACAAACGCGCACACACACACACACACACACACACACACACACACACACACACACACAAACACACAAACACACACACATTTGGTCCTGTCCATGAGTGAATTTTGCCTTTTTCTGTCACCTCCAGATCAGTTGGATGTAGCGGCAAGAATCGCCCAGTACATTAGCGGGGCCACAGTCACACACCAGCTGCCCATCGCTGAGGCCATGCTCACCTGCAAACACAGGACGTGAGTGCACACACACACACACACACACACACACACACACACAGGTCTCACAAAATGGATTTACTCTGAATGTTTTCTTTTAATATTCTTTCTCTCCCTTTCCAGGCGAGATGAAGACTCCTACCAGAAGTTCATTCCTTTTATAGGGGTAAGGGGCTTATAGGTTTACTTTGGATGGTATTGCAGGAGGTTGAAAGCAAATCTGACTTTTGCTGAGGATTTAGATTTGTTTCTGACATCACTTGTTGTTTTCCAGGTAGTGAAGGTTGGTCTTATCGAGTCCGGACCTTCTCCCACAGGTAAGGAAATAGTTTTAACACATACAGACTGATTTAATTCGATTTAGCCGGTGATAGTGTGATAATGTTTGTTTTTTTGTGCTCGTCAAGGAGATACAGAAGAAGGCGTGGCGGTGAGCTTGGCTGTTCCCTCCACGTCTCCCCCCTCCCATGGCTCACCCACGGGGATGATTAAAGAGGCAGCCACGCCCCCCTCCTCCCCCTCCATGGGCAGCGTTCTGACTGCACAAGGGTAAGACCGACCTGCTTATTATTCTTCCTCCATCCTATCTTTTGTTCCTCTATTTTTTATCACCGTTTTTAGGAAACATAACTGATCATCTATCTTCAAATTCTATAAGCACTGATACCAGAATGTAAAAATATTCTATTTAGGTTCAAAACTTTTGGTTTTATCAGTATAAAACTGTATAAAACGTAAATTCTGAATCATCATTTATTTCACTGGTGTTTAAATTATTTATTTGTGTGTAAGCAGTGCTTTAATGTTGCAAGTGCACCAGGTAGTGTCTCAATGGGGCTGCATTACATAGTGTTGGGTACAGTTGATTGCAGTTTATGGTTGGTATTGTTTTGCATGTGAAATAGTAAAATTGCTAGTAGCTGTCAGGTAAAAGCAGTGCAGTGAAAAGTACAATATTCCTATCTAAAATCTCACAAATTACAGATGTAATATGTTGTCAAGTAAATTTTGTAAAAATGTTTCCTTATCTGTCAACATGACACAACACCAAACCTGTGGATGTTACTTTCAATACTAGTTAAATATTTTGTTCCTGGCAGCAGTTCCAAAGAAGTGAGGGGCTCTTTGATACTTCAGTCATGTTTTCATCCTTTTGATTCAGTTGATTTTTGCTGCAGTCCTTCTCTGAGGAGCAGCTGTCTGCTCTAGCATTTCTATTTCACCCTCTGCAGAACACATTTGGTGCAAGTTTTGAACAAAATGTACAAAATTCAACTATGAAGTCCATCTTCTTTTGAACTGGTTATGAATTGTGGCAGATCAAGTCCTGCTGAGGCTGACAAAAAGACCTCACTGGATAAATAAAGGTTTAAAAGGAATGCTGCTCCAAGCGATTCTCGTGCCTTTGCTTTAATAATTGTCTATAAACTCTTCCTGTCCACAGAAGTCCCAGTATGTCTCACGGCGTGGACGCCATTGGCCTGCAGGTAGATTACTGGCTGGCCTCCCTGGCTGAGAAGCGGCGGGAGGGCGACCGGCGCGACACAGGTTGCAAGAACACACTAAAGAGCGCCTTCCGCTCGCTGCAGGTCAGCAGGCTACCAGGCGAGGGCAGCAGCGACCCACAGGCCCAGGTCAGCACCATGGCCATGACCGTGGTCACCAAGGAGAAGAACAAGAAAGGTGAGTGAAGATTATCAGATGTAAGAGAAATGATTGATTTTGTGTTTTCAGGCCAAGCACATAATAATCAGTTGATCCGACCCTGCACTGAACTACATATTCAACATCTCGCATAATGCTGTGGCCTATTGTGTTGCATCCCCACACACACACACACACACACACACACACACACACACACACACACACACACACACAGTGCTTTTACAATTCCTCTCTCTACCTCTCCTCAGTTCCAACCATCTTCCTGGGAAAGAAGCCAAAGGAGAAGGATGTAGATTCAAAGAGCCAGGTCATTGAAGGCATCAGCCGACTCATCTGCTCCGCCAAGCAGCAACAGACCATCCTGAAAGGTAAGCCTGAAGGATCCCGACGGTTCTGTACCTCTTTATGTGTGTTTGTTTCAATACTTTGGTTATTCAGCTGAGTTTTTTGCGTGTCGTTTCTGTTTCCCTCCAGTGTCCATAGACGGCGTGGAGTGGAACGACGTTAAGTTCTTCCAGCTGGCTGCCCAGTGGCCCACTCACGTCAAATACCTACCTGTCGGACTTTTCGGCTACAGCAAGCCTCCCTCCTAGGGGTGAGCACCCGCCGACTCCTCTGACCCTCATTTGACCTTCGACTTTCCTCCATCCTGTCACACCTTTGGGCAAAGACCCCGCCCCTCAGTACCTGCAGAGCGGAGAGAAGACGTCGAACGGCTGGACTATTTTTCTTTCTTTAGTTTCTTTTTGCTACAGTCGTCTTGTTTCTGTTTTGGGACGGAGATAAGGAAAGGAGGTGTTGGGGTGCCGCGCTGTTACTAGTCACTTTAATGCCCCTTTTTGTGAGTGCGTGATGAGTGTGCATGCACACGTGAATGTACATGTGTGTGTGTGTGTGTGTGTGTGTGTGTGTGTGTATGTGTGTTTACAAGGGGCTTACAGCACAAGTTTATTAGCTTACTGCCATTTACGTTTCCGTTCTATGGAATGCAATAGCATGCAACAACTCACCGATTTCAAGCCCTTAAAGTCCAACCCTCAACTTTTGACTTCCGAGTTCCCAATCACCTCCAGACCTGGTCCACACGTGCATGCTCCGAACTAACAGATAACACCACTCATGTGCCGGGAACAGTAACATTAAAACAAAAATAGAAAAATATTGAAAATGCAACAGGGCTTCAGTGTTTGCATGAGCCAGTTAAAACACAAAGAAAAGTCTCACAAATTGCAGTCAAATAAAAGGCTTGCATGTGATAAATTTCTCTTTTACATGTTCTCCGATGCCCTTCCAGTCCAATTCTTTCTTTCTTTTTCATTTCAAGGGCTTCCATATAATTTAAAATATTTTTTTTCTGTACCAAAATAAGTCATTTGGATGTTGAATGCCAAGCGTTTCCTATCAACAAAAAAAAAAAAAAAAGAATATCTATAAAAGGGAAGTGTCTTTTTTTTTTAAATTGTGCTCTAGTTAAAAATAGTAAAACCTTCCCTTTAAACCAGTTTTGTGAAGAGTTGCAGGGCAGGGGCTACTGTAACATGCAATTTTCATTATCTTCTTATTTGCTATGCACTTATGAATACACATCTGGGTGTTTGCAGCCTACAGCTGGGGAAAAATAGACGAAGCCTCTCAACAGCAGAGCCAACAGGAAACTGAAACAACAAAATGCTTATTTAAACAGTTCAAATCTCAGCAGCGTTGATGGGAATATGATGGGGAAAGAGTGTCCCCCCCCCCGTATAAACTCTACTTTTCCACAAGTATCCATACGGCGAAAAATCACCTACAATAAAGCACAATGTCGTCTGCCAGTTGTCCCCCAAATTTCTTTATTGGCAACAGACTGGCAGCTTTCTATTCAGTGAAAACAGCGGACCTGGTCGAAAATCAATTTTTTAAAGCATTTCTCCTTAATAACCTTCATTTTATCAAGTAAAAAAATAAAAGACGTATTTGCATTGGTTTCAGTTATTGTGGCACAGGTCTTCTACACGCTTTCTCTAGGATGTCGTGAGGTGAATAGTGACTGTACAGTAACTGGTAACACGTGTGTGTGTGTGTGTGTGTGTGTGTGTGTGGTGAAATAAATGTAATGTGGTCAGAAACTTTAAAAACAAAAAATCACTAAAAAGGAGGAATACTTTTTCTACCATGTGACAGAGAGGGCATGCAATTGGTGTGTGTGTGTGTGTGTGTGTGTGTGTGTTGGCACTGTGTGTTGATGATGTCATTATCAATATCACTGATTATCAGATTAGGGCTGCAAAAGCTGCAGTAGTCGTCTTGTTTACTTTGTAGCCTGGCACAAGGCGAATGCAAATTTTTTTTTTTCCCACCACTAAACAACCTAGAAAACTAAACAAAATCTTAAATTAAATTCACTTTTATTGAATTTAGGAATTACAGGAATGTATCTACAACAGTGGTTTATAACAATAATTGTTCTAAAGAGCAATTTTCTTTTAAATGCAAAGCCGTGTAGCTCTGCCTTGTGTCACCTACATCGTAACACTCTCCATCTCCAGTGAAGTATTAGCGAAATCGTTTTTTATAATAGTGTTAACGCCAACGTCTTGATTTAAATGCTGTTTTTGTTCGTTTTGAAAAGTAGATTAGAGAGTTTTATTACAGTGTTACGGTTGTGATGTCGGCAGCACGTCTCAAACTCGGCTCATTGTTCTGTTGGATGGCACCTGTGACACGAGGTTTCACACTGAAGGGTTTCAGAGCTCGCTTTGTTTGTTCGCACTCTGTTTAACAGCTCATCTGCCACGGCTGAACCACCACTCAGTTTGTGCGATTTTAAAGTCCTCTCAAATATTTGAATGTATTGAATTTAGTTTACATGTCTTTGTGAACGACTTGAGGCACAAGTTAGAGTTGTGTGTCACTATAATAAAATCATTTGGTGTTATTTGGACTAAAAGAGTTCAGTGCAGTGATACGAGCGAGTTTGGATACTTTTCTGTTTTTGTGTGTAAGTCTTTTTTCACTTGTGTTGCTGACAACCATTAAGGGCTTGACAGACAGACGGACTGACTGACAGGTTTGAATCAGTCCTGAATATAAGTGAACATTAATGTACTGTAGTTTGACGTTGAGGTTACTAAATCATTTCATTCCAAAATTGATCACATTTTAAAATACTGACACTTGCTGTTGTGGAAGTGAACTCAATCTGAAGATCTTTGCTAAGAAAAAAAAGTACAATCACTTTAAAATAACCCATACTTAGGAAGGGTTTATAATTTGCCACTAATGACTTCATTAATGTTATAATGTAATAAAGGTTGTGAGGCCAAATTTCAATGAAGTGTCCCTTTTGTACATTATATCCACTTATATATGTTTTATATTAACAGTTCAAATGAGTACAAATCCCACAGAATCACCACAAAACACTTAAATTTCATCAAAGTACTCAAGATTTTATTCTCACTGGAACAAATTGCTTGGGATTTTTAATGAATTAACTTTCTACCGCAGTTTAATTGCAAAAATAATTCCTAAAACGTCGCAATCTCTTAGAAAAGCTGTCATGAAATTAGGCATTTCAGGCCGCAACACTCCCAAAATGATAATATGTCAGTGTTGTGTTGTTTCTGCTGCCCCCAAGTGGCCAAAGAAATTAAAATAATACTTTAAGTTTAGATGTTAGCAGGTCATTATAAAGAGCTTTTTCTACTTACATTTAACCATTAGACCTGCAATTGTGTCAGCACAGGTTATGAGGAAGATCTGAAGTCTAATTCTACCATTGGTGGAATATATACTGTGGATGGGCCAAAGGGATCCTTCATCAAAATGTGGCAACGCAAAACTTCACTTACTTTATGTGTTGTAATAGCTCCTTCCAACCTGTTTATATCATTTTAACCTTTAATTAAGTCACTAGTGGCACACTTTATTGTGAAAGGGAACCACATTTTTAAATTAGAAGAATGGATTTGGAAGATTTATATAGAAGTTTTGGAATTAAATGCTTGATCACTTTTACTTAACCTGTAACAATGGTGGATCAATGATCTTGTGTCTGCTGTTAGAGACAACCTCAACTAACTCAAAATGCTCTTTGCCTTGTAGTGTTGTTAGCCTAATTATTGCAATGATGTTAAACTAAACCTTTCCTAAATTGTATAAAGTTATAGTTTATTGATGCCTCTTTTGCTTGCAGCCTCCGCAGGGAGGTTAAAGGTCGGCTGACTCTCTCCGGGGCTCCCTGATTGAACTGAACTTGGAAATATTCTACAGAAAGAGAGGCATTAAAAACCAAATCACTGCCAAAACTGAAATGTAAAGAAATTGGTGGTTATATTCAGATAGATTTGTGTGAGTGTGTGAGGGGGGGGGGGGGGTTTGCTCATAAACTGAAAACACATTAACAACAAAGTGATCCTTGTTCTTTAGTCATCATTTCAATGTTTGGAGGAACTGAATGCTTTTTTTTAAACCACAGCCATGTTCTGAAGCTTTTCTTGTCTTTGCCACCTTTAGACCGTCTTTCCCCTTCATGCTTACCTTTTACATGTTTTTCTAAACGCTGGTTGTTCTGTATGTAAGTCTTGAACTTGTTCCTGTGTGTTTTTACCTGTACCTCTGTACCTGTGTGTGTTTGTGACGGTGTTAACGATGGTTCCTCTGTCCCCTTGACTAGTCGTGGTTAGAGATTAGGAGCTGTTTGGTCCATCAATAATCTCTGTCAGTGATCAGCAGTGTCTTTTCTCTCCACTGTCCTCAGATATATGTCCCTCTGACGATTGAGAGAGTCTTCTTCACCAGGCTTCCACAAGCTTAGCTTTCTGAAATCATCTTAAATGATATTGTCCCCATTCCCTCACAGCTTGTAAATTTTGCTGTCTGTCCTCATGGGAACGGGATTTGCCTACGAAAACAGTAGACTTCTGCCTGACGAGGTTCTGCTCGGAGCAGAGCGTCCTAAGCTTGTGGACTTGTGGAGAGTATTTTGCACATGCCATTGTTTCTTCAGCAGCAGTCTTCAGCTTTTTTGCCTTTTGCCTATAACAATAATTATAATAAACTATAATGCTTGTACATATCAGATAGTACTTGTTATATTGTATTCTAGTTCTGTTTTTTTCTTTTTCTTAATTTGACATGTTTTGTAGTACTGCTTTTTCATGATTATGTTTGTCAATCAAACAGATGTGGGATGAAAAGTGTTTATTGTTTCATTTGTTTTTTAAAATAAAAATATTCCTGATTTGTAGCTCAGTCTCTCGTTCTTGAAATATAATACCACATGTATGTTTCGTGTGTGTGTTTGTTGCTAATATAGCTTATTTATACTGGTAATGGTGGTGAGATTATAATTTATGAAACTAATTTAACTAGGGATGCACAGAATATATCAGGGCCAATAAATTGTATGTCAGTTATGGGAAATGTCTAATAATATGTATTATTCTTGTAATTTAATTATAGGTCAATAATGCAAAACATTTGATAGGCTTTATGATGAACTTTGTGTCAACAATAGCGATGTGCTTTGCCCAAGATGTAGAATGATCAGTTATCTTATTGGTATCGGGCGTAAGAAGCAGGTAATTATCGGTATTTTCTGAAAGAAAATCTATATTGTGCAATCCTGAATTTAATGGGTAGCATAAAGTTGGCTGCATTTATGGTGCAGGGGGGAAAAAAGTATTTTACCATTGCAATTACACCAAATAGTGAGCTATATTCCTCATATATTTCCAACTGACAACAGAAATACTTGAATGAATAAAAGTGTTTCTTTTTATTATCGGGGTACAAACTATTAAAACGGTTAAACGCTGTAGACCAGAAGCTGATTTAAAGACTGAAACTCTAATTAAATTTTGCACATGATGCTTGTGAAGCAGGTCAGTGGTTCACAGTGAGCCTCTCATTACCCTGATGCCCTATTTGCCCCCCCTCTCATACAGTCTTTGGATGGGGCTGGTGCTGACATCAGACCACAAAGAGTACAGCAAGAGATTTCACTTCCGCCTACATCCTGTTCTGTGGAAAACCTGTTAATTATTTTATTTCATTTTTTTTTGTACTAGGAGTCAGTCACTGACAATATACTATTTTAATTCCATTTACCAGCTAATACTTTTCAAAAATATATGATCAAATCAAAACCAAGTGACGGTGTTGTATGTTATCATATTACTATTCATTCAGTGAACGTTTCAGTCCTGTTCTGTATTTAAAAATACCTACACACTGATTAACAACAACATAAAAATGATATTAATTAGTTAATATAAACTTGCATGTTGTCAAAGCCTTAGGGGATGGTGTCAAATAATAATTGCATCTTTGTTAAACTGACAAAATACTCAAGCTGCACAGTGCAGTCAGTTTAGCTCAAACTAAATTCACAGAAACCTCCAGAAAAATGTTTCAGCTTTTTAAAAAAAGGACAGATAAATGGCAATAAACATAATTCAGATTCTGAAAACCTCTATGAGGAAATATTACTAGTTACAGCGGCACTTTCAGCCCTACGCATGCGCACGATCATTTCCCGCCCCGCTTGGAAAATGGCGAACGTGAATCATCTTGACATTTTACTTCATCTTTGGTTGGTCGGATTCTGGGAGAACAGCCATTTTTCGTCTCCCAGCTGTCATATTTCTGCGATAGCATCACTTTTTACAAACTAAATAAAAGTGTTTTTTGTGTGTGTCGTCGGGGAGATGACCAGTTAGTAACGGCCAACACTTTCGGACACGTTTAAGAGCTTTCTTGCTGTCTTACTGGGTAAGTTAAGGTGACGGAGAAGAGGCTACTGCTAAGCTAAACAAACAGACTTTAGCTGTAACTGTAAGCGTATTAAACTAAACTGAGTGGTGTGGGAGCTATTTCGGTGTGCGTTGTACCGGCCAAATAACGTAAGAAGCGTGAAATGGACACGACAGGTAACGTGTTAGCTAACGGTAACACAAAACAACCGGCCGGCGTCCTTCAGAGTACAGCTAACGTTATTTACTAAACTGGCGTTTGCATCCATTGCTTGGCTATATTACGGTTTGGAAACAAAAAATGGACTGTGTTTTAATTTAATAGTATAAATTCGTCCTCCCTGATAACCTGCGTTGTCGTGTTTTTTTTTTTTTTTTTTTGGCAGCTGAATATATCGTCCTACGTTTGCGTCGGTTAAACGTTTTATTTTGAAAGAAACAAAACCCCACAACCGGAAGCAGTTTGCTTTATTTTGGTAGACTTGACAAGTGGGTCCGTCTGGAGCATCACAACATTGTCCTGCTGCTTTGTTCGAGGGACAGAAAGCATCGCACTTGTCTTCGATGAAGGTAAAAAAAACCAACAAAAAAACTAGAAACTAAAAATATATAATATTTAAATGAGCATGAAGTCGCAGTTATATATTGTTAAAGTAGATAAATGTTTTATAACCAGCTGTCAAATCAAACGTTACATCCTCGGCGAGGTCCGTATAGTGTGTCATCTGCAGTCACAACTCGCCAGTGTTTTTACTTATAAAACAGCAGGGTTTTTTTGTTTTTGTTAATTGTCCTTATTATATTCTTATGTGTGCATGTGGTAAATAGTGTTAAATCGCCTGATATAAAGTGCTTCACTGGTGTATTGTGTAACATCATGGTCGCTCGGGCCTGCACTGTTTACAAACAGTTTACATGTCGGAACCAGACATTTCAACGCTTTTGCAGTGAGTGACATTTGTTCAACAGATCATGTGTTGTACATCCGTCCTTCCCTGAACACTGCTCTCCTTTGTCGGTCACCTTGATTGATCTGCTGCCAAGCCAAACGCTGCCGCCCCTCCCGGCCACAGGCCTCGACCATCCACCGGCTCATTTATTCATTTGTTCCCCTCAAAATAGCCAAATTAAAGGTGGGTAAATGGGCGATAACGTTCATTTCGGGATGTCACCCTTTTGTTTTTAATTTGACGTGTCACAGCAGTCCCTTACTGCGTTTGCAATCGGTGGACATGAAGGGGGAAGTGTGAATATTGGTGCATTGCAGTCAGTGTATGAGGCGGATGGGAGGGGGGGTGGGTGAGTGAGAGAGCTAGACAGACACACATATAGAGAGAGAGAGAGAGAGAGAGAGAGAGAGGGAGGGAGGGGAAGAACAGGTGCGCCTCCACCATCAAAGCAGGAAAAGAGAGAAAGTCACGATGATGCACAATTGGCTCCTCTGTCCTTCTGCTGCTGCTGCAACGGTTTCATTTACAGCTGCTCAATATTTAAACCCTGCATGCTCCGGATAAACTATAGTGACTATTTACTGGACCAGACCCCCCGCCTGAATCTGAGAGATATATGTTAGATATTAGTTTGTGTACAGTAACAATCGTTTCCCCTAAAGGCCACATTAGGAATAAATTCTGACCTCATTTGTGTGTTGTAGCAAAAGAAATGAACAGTGAATGCCTCCTTTATCTGCTGGTCATCATTACTCATGATGACCAATCACATGACTTATCATTTCTTTTTACAGACATTATCACCCACTGCTTAAAATAGATCAACAGTCAATAGCAGATGCCACTTTTGGGTTCTTTGGGACATTTTTATAAACTAAAAAAAGAAATTAAAGCTGAATTGATGAAGAAAGCACGATCAGTATTAAGGTAGTGAGTGGAAAATGTTGTGATACAGTAGTTTATATTCAAGTTTGTCTGCTGACTATCAATGTTTTTAGCCTGAACATTGAAACTGTTGTCGTGTTCTGATTTTTGAGGCCATTACAATATATATAAACATTTAATTGAGAGTAAACAGAAGTGATTCTGATAAATCAATCTACATTCATTATTTAGCATAAACATGAACATAAACATAAACATGAATCCTTTCATTTTACTGAGTCGGACATTTTACAGTAAAACTAAATAAACGTTCTTGTGGACAAAATACTGCATGTAATGGAGTCAGTATTTCTAATTTAGTTTAAACATCTCTGGTCTTTGGTTTAGATCCTCTCGTGATATATGATTACTCACTCTGAATCAATCTCTCCTAGAAAACAGCAGATCTGTCGAGTGACAGCGTCTCATTTTAATTGGCTTTACTGCTTTACACAGGCAGCTGCTGCGTCAGTTTCAAGCTCGGAGGAATCCTCTTGTAGTAATCTGAATGGAGTTTAACTATACATATACTACTGTCTCACACACACACACACCTTAGCGCTCTCTATCTTGTCTTACTACCCAAGGGGAACGTTACATAATAATGAAATAGGAAACCATTATGTAGCTGTTGACCTTTTTGAAATTGTAGAGAAAGGCAGCGGAAAGGGAGATGAAAGCTTTTTTGCAGCAGCAACGTTTTTAATATTTCATAAACTTTCCATCTCTTTAAACTCTGCAATCATAATTATTGAATTTTAATGTGCTATCATGCAATAAATGTGTCTCAGGAATGTTAACCTCATCCTTTTTCTGGTGTCTCCAATTTTGTGCTCTTCATTAAGGTTATTTTTAGTGTCGTTTTCCTACTCTTTTTGGCACATGCTGTACTTTAGTGTGCAAGGCATTTGTTGTGTGCCCGTGTGGATAATGAAACTGTCTCTCTGAAACACACGCAGCAGGGAAATATTGGATATGAATGCATCCTGGGAAGGTTTTATATTAAAACAGTAGATTTCAACTTCTTGGCTTTTGACACAATTGTTCCTCATTTTTACCATCATAATGAATCTTGTGAGAATTTCTTTCACTTTTTTTACCCCAGTTTGTTTTTCTTTCTTTTTTGACCTTCCTCTTACTGAGTGTCTCTCTTTATTCCCTCCCTCCTCATCTTTACTGTATCCTGTTTCCATTCTCCTCTTTCTGTCCTCCACCTTTCTTCTTTTCTTGTCGCTTTTTGCCACACCCACCTGCACTTGACCTCAGTGACCAACAGATAAAGGATGTGGTTGCGCTGAGCAGCTTGTGTAAATTGTCAAGCAGGACAATGACAATGCACACTCAGCACAAACACCCCCCATCCCACTGTTGAATAAAAAAATTCACCCGTCTTATCATTGTGTTTGTTTCTTTTCTTGTCCCTGCAGTGTGTATGAAACCAGGCAATGTCCACCATGGTGTATCCACGTGAAGAAGCCCTGGAGCGACTGAGCCAGGATGAGATTGTCCTCAACACTAAGGCCGTCATGCAGGGCCTGGAAACGCTGCGTGGCGAACACGCCCAGCTCCTCAATTCGCTGCTGGACTGCACCCAGCCACCGGCTGCCCAGGAGAAATCTGGACTGCTCCGCAAGAGTCTGGAGGCCATCGAGCTGGGCCTGGGAGAGGCACAGGTGAGTCCTAATAAAATAAATTGCTTTATCTTTAATATCAGCGAGTAAAAGTAACATTTTTGTTGTCCCTTCCTCTTTTTCCCCAGGTGATCATCGCCCTATCGAGTCACCTGAGCGCCGTGGAGTCGGAGAAGCAGAAGCTGCGCGCTCAGGTGCGCCGGCTCTGCCAGGAGAACCAGTGGCTGCGGGACGAGCTGGCGGGGACGCAGCACAAGCTGCAGCGCAGCGAGCAGAGCGTCGCCCAGCTGGAGGAGGAGAAGAAGCACCTGGAGTTCATGAACCAGATCAAGAAGTTCGACGATGACGTCTCGCCCTCAGAGGAGAAGAACCAGAGCTCTGGTGGAGGCGGCGGTGGGAGTGGAGGAGACACTTCAAAGGACAGTCTGGATGACTTGTTCCCCAACGATGATGACCAGGGACCAGGTATGACAGCACCAGATATTAGACCACAGACAGGAGATGATAACAAGATGCTCAAAAGACACACAGTTTATAGTAGGGCTGCAAGTAACAATTATTCTCATTATCAGTTAATCAACAGATCATTTCCTAGATTATTCGATCAATAATTTTGTTTCTAAAATGTCTTTTGTAAAAATTGTAAAGATAATAAATGTATTCAAATAGTTTGTTTAGTCTGACCAACTGTCCAAAACCCAAAGATAATCAATTTACTGTCATAAAACACAGAAAAACAGCAAAAAGAAACCGGAACCAGCAAACCAGCTTTTTTCCAAATTTGCTTTGTTCGGATGGAAGATGGTGTCCTAACCTGCAAATTGTAGCATATTTATATGTACGCTTGCTATATAGACAACATTTCTTTGCTCTCTTGTTTATAACATGACTGTTTGCGTGTAAATCAGTCTGAACCATAACTAAGGCTGCAAAGTAACATTTATCTGCTGTTATTTATTAATCTATTAACTATTTAGTCTAAAACATGCCCAAACTAAGGACTTAAAGCAAATCAACAGAGCCAGAAATGACAGTTTACAGGACCAGGTGCCTGATACAGGAGGAGAATAACCAGTGGTGGTGCACCACAGGAAGATTATTGGTTGTGATTTCCTGAGAGTAACAATCCTGTTTCATACAGAATTTCTGACCCTTGTCTCTCTGTAGTCTAAGGATGTAAGTCATCGTTTCCATTGACTGTAGAAAGCTTACAATGTCTATAAAAATGTCCACAGTAGGATAGTTTCCCTAAAATCAGTATTTGTTAACAGTGTTTAATTGCAGCTATTTAGGCAAACATTTAGGCATATCTCCAAAACTCACACTTAGAATTTGATCATGTCCCGTTAATAATTAATACTTTTATGAAGGTGGAAGTTGTTAAATCAGACTGTATTGTATTTTATAGAAGGTTGTTGATAGTATTAAGCAACTCCCAAGCTTATCTATAGGCTAAGTAAGGACACAGAGGCCTGAATGCACAGTAAGAGAATCAATGCTGTTATTATTTGGAGGTATAGAGTGTCAAAATAAAGTCACCCGGATCTCAATACAGCCGTGCCTTTCAATAACAGAAATGTTCAGGACTCAACTGCCCTGAAGCCTTGAAGAGTAATTTAAACACTGAGGCACTAGTTGTTCTCACATGTTCACACAAGCAGCTCCTTGTATAAGTGGCTAACCTACAGTTTGGCCCCCAGCTGTGATATAGTTTAGAGAGGACGTATTTGAAGCAGGAGCTGTGGTTTGGTTGATGCTAAATTCACTGTCTAAACAGAAGCTGCAAATGCATTTGTGGATCAAAGTGAAATCAAATTGCAGATAGAAAAGGTCACTGATGCAGCGTGTTACTGTGTAAAGCTTGTTCAGCGTTCCTCCCCATTAGCAGAACAGTAAGTGCACTTGTGTTTGCCTCTTGGTCTCTTCAATTATTTATAACCAAATAAACATAAAGGCTTTACTGTATATCAGCTTTGTTTATGTACACTGCACATTTAGCCACAACATGTAAAAATATATATTTATATTACACATAAAGCTCTTATTCTCTTATAATGACATTATTATTTTTACTTTCTTTATATGGTCTTCTTTTACATCAGTCATTTCCCTCTAGTTTTGCTTGATTTGATGTTAGGAGTAGGTATTAACTTTATGTTATGGCGATCTGTTGTCTTTCTGATGTATATATTGTGGCAGAAGGACAGAGAGTGAAAGAAAAAGAGCAGAATAGTCCTTTTGAACCTTGAAGAGAGTGGAAAGTAAGAAGATGAAGATTTTAAAAGACTTTAAGTTTCTGGACTTCAGCACTGTAGGATTAAAATAGTGAAGTACAGAAGAAGAAATAATGGCATCTGTTACCAGCTGTATGTCCGTGAGCAATGATGTGATCCCGAGTGAGTTTGACTGAATGTGTTTTTTTATCGTCCCCTTGTCCTGCTTGGATTTGGTATTTAACTTCATTGCCTTTGTTGGATTTAAGTTTTCCACTTTCTACAACCTTTCAGGCTTCTCTTATACATACATACATAGGGCGTTTCACAAATATTTCCATCTTGGAGTGAATGACGTAGGTTGCGGGATGCATTGTGGGATAGTTTAAGATCATGCAGCAAAAGCTAGCCATCCAAGACCGTGAGACTAACAGAGAAACAAGGTATAAATAAATGGAAAGGACAGACAGTTTAAAAAAAAGAAGTTGGAGAATACTCCAAGACATTTTAATATCCTCCCCTCTGTCCCACAGCCCAGCCCAGTGGAGAGGTGGCGGCCCAGCAGGGAGGCTACGAGATCCCAGCCCGCCTCAGGACGCTTCACAACCTAGTGATCCAGTATGCCTCTCAGGGGAGGTACGAGGTGGCCGTGCCGCTGTGCAAACAAGCCCTGGAGGACCTGGAGAAGACGTCTGGACACGATCACCCCGACGTAGCCACCATGCTCAACATCCTGGCCTTGGTGTACAGGTGGGGGGGCGGGGGACTTAGAGGAGGTTCTGGGACAAACATTTAGAGTTGATATCAAATAAAAACATTTTGAAAAAACTGCTGTTGTTTTGGCCTCCAGAGATCAGAACAAGTACAAAGAAGCCGCTCACCTCCTGAATGACGCCCTGGCCATCAGAGAGAAGACACTGGGGAAGGATCATCCAGCTGTGGCCGCAACCCTCAACAACCTGGCCGTTCTGTACGGCAAGAGGGGCAAGTACAAGGAGGCGGAACCTCTCTGCAAGAGAGCACTGGAGATCAGAGAGAAGGTAAAAAAAACCAAAAACAGCTCTAAATGTTTTCTCTACAGATTGTATGTATGTGAGCAGTTTTGTTTGTTTATCTGAATAAAACAATAATGAAAGACTGTATTGTTTCCAGGTGTTGGGAAAGTATCACCCAGATGTGGCCAAGCAGCTGAACAACTTGGCCCTCCTGTGTCAGAACCAGGGCAAGTACGACGAGGTGGAATACTACTACAGACGGGCCCTGGAGATCTATGAGTCCAAACTGGGAGCTGATGACCCCAATGTGGCCAAGACCAAAAATAACCTGGTGGGGACATTATTAAGGTTCTACATTCATGATGAGTTTTAAAACTAATCCACTCACACAGTCTACCCTTAACAGTAATGAACCTTGCGCGTTAATCTTGTGATGAAAGCGTTTATTTTATTTTTTAATAAAAGATCGTCCTCCTTGCTTCCCCTCAGGCTACGTGCTACCTGAAGCAGGGGAAGTTCAAAGATGCCGAGGCTCTGTACAAAGAGATCCTGACCAGGGCGCACGAGAAGGAGTTTGGATCCGTCAACAGTAAGCAAAGCCAACATTCAAACTGCACGTACTGCAAAATATGCACATGACTGACCTTTTAATCTTGCTGAGAACCCTTAATCTTTCCTTTTTGGTGACATTTGGAGTGCCGAATGATATTTTCTTTTTTCCCACCATAATGGAAAATGTCCAGGAGTCGACCCATTTTCACTTCCCATGACAGTCAGTGTTTTGGGATTCAGGTTTTTTGTTTTGGCCACACCCTGATCGCTACCGTCGCTCTCGGTACTCTCAGCAGGTCAGAGGATTATTTTGTGCTATCGAAGCGTGCGAAGCAGCTTAATGTTGATATTTCCCTCCTGCTGCCGCTAAGCCTATCAAACCCTTATGTGCTCACATGCCCAGCACAAGAGGGGGGGGGTGGGCTTGGCAAGAATTTGGCATTGCAGGAGTTGGATCAAACAAAGAAAGGAAACAAAGTATGTGTTTATAAAATCACATTTGTTTACATGGATAGCAAGGCTTCTCTTTGGAATGTAGGTCATTTATTTATTCTTTTACCTCATTTGTTTTGTTTTTCCGGCAACTTATTTACAGTGTTGTCGTCTTCTCATGATATTGTTCTTGTATATGAAATGGCATTTATTTGTTTTTTTTTTTTTTTGTCCTCATTTTGCAGATGACAACAAGCCAATCTGGATGCACGCAGAGGAGAGAGAGGAGAGCAAGGTCAGTTATTTAGTTTGACCTTTTCCATTGAAGGCAGGCAGCTTATTATATAAATGGACTGGATGGCAAAATAAATGGAGAACAGCAGACTATACAAATGACAACAGGGGCATTATAATTGGCTGTTTAATAGGATAATGCTTCATACTTGGCTCCTCGTGCTCTCAGCCTCTTTTCATCGTATTCTCCCTCTCCTTTCTCTCTCTATTGCTGTCCCTCTCTCAGGGTAAGCGCAAGGACTCTGGCCCATATGTAGAGTATGGAAGTTGGTATAAGGCCTGCAAGGTGGACAGGTGAGTCAAACATTTGAATTCACTGGAAACATGTAGGAATTAGGAAGCTGACAAAAATACTACTTTTGATAAAACTGCTAATTGTCAATGTTTTTGCAAATAAAATCCCAAAACATATGACCATTTATATGCCAAAGAATAATCAGAAAAATGGTGGACTCTTTATTTTTCTTTAATTATTACAATCCATATCCACATTTGCAATGATGTCCAATAACAAGTTGTTCTGTCAATCAACAGACAACAGGGAATATCATTAAAAAAAAGAGGAACTCAGTTCTGTATCAATTTAAGGTTGTCACAATAGGACAAATGTAACACTTTTCTTCCCCCGTTTGTCTCAGGAATAAACTTAAACCATGTTACAGTAAAAGTCACACTGATAAAACAGATGTAAGTGGGTTATCAGGTCCTTAAAGCAGCACAAGAGAGTTCACCGTTTGTTCTCACCTCCATTTGGCTTTGAAAAATGGCCAATATCCAGTTCTAATAAAAGGAACAGGCTCTGCAAACTAATGTATTAGTTTAACCTTGACTGTGGCTTGGCTGAACTATGTATTAGAGTACTTGCTGTGTTGCTGCTGCAATTCCCCCAAAAGCCATCTCATGGCTCAGTTAATCTTTGTTGTACTGAAGGTGAATGGAACAGAAACAGACTTCGATGAGAAATACCTTAAAATAAATACAATGTTGTGGGTTTTTCTTGCAGCCCCACAGTGAACACAACCCTCAAAAGTTTGGGGGCTTTGTACCGTCGCCAGGGCAAACTGGAGGCAGCAGAAACCCTGGAGGAGTGCGCCAGCAAGTCACGTAAACAGGTACGACACAAACACACAGACTGCTGCAGGACCAGGTTGAATTACTGTTCTTAGATTAGTCGACTGGGCTCTTTTAATTCAACAGACATTCCAGCTGTTATTTATTAGCCCACAAACAATGACACGCTGATTTAAAGATCAGTCACAAAGCTAATGTGTGTACGTTCGTAGACATGCTGTGTGATCTATTGGGAAAAAGCTGTAATTTTCTTTTCAATCTCTTTTAATCACTCGTCTCCAATCTTTGTTTCTCTTTGTCTCTTTGTGTTTGCATCTGTGTCCCCCCCCCCCCATCTCTCTCTCTCTCTCCCCCCCACACACACTCTAAGGGTTTTGATGCCATCAACCAGAGTAAGGTGGTGGAGCTGCTGAAGGACGGCGGAGCTGGAGGGGGCGACAGACGACACAGCAGGGAAGGAATCAACGGGCAGGGAGGACAGCGGGGGGAGACTGAGGGCGACGACTCCGCTGAGTGGAACGGGGTCAGTTCATTCAACTACTACTTCAACACTAAAGACTGTGTTAATACCTTCCTCATGTAAAAGCTAGCACAGCCTTGCAAACAAGGCAATTCAATTAATATTAATAATGTAATTATTTGACATTAAACATTTTTTCAAAGGTAAAGTCCCTTCAATAGGGCACCTTAGGTCGGAGTTCTGATGAAACCAAAAACATAAGAAGGGATCCTGGTCTTTCTATCCTGACAAACCTTAACAGGAAATCTCTTTAATTTTTTTTTTCTTTCTTTCTTTCCTTAGGATGGTAACGGGTCTCTGCGTCGTAGCGGCTCCTTCGGGAAGATTCGTGACGCCCTGAGAAGGAGCAGCGAGATGCTGGTGAAGAAGCTGCAGGGGAGCGGACCACAAGAACCCCGCAACCCAGGGTAAGATTAGAAGTTCAGTAAAACTTTTCTTATCACAGGGTCCACCTACCTAGACCTTCTCCATCCACTGAGGCTTGTGGATGTGACTGAAAAGCTCTGGAAAAACAAAGTTGACATTTTTGCGTCTTTAAAGTGACTGAAAATGTATTTCTGATCCAATCTACTGATGTGCTCATAATGAGTTTTTAATGCTTTAGTCTCACTGTTTGGTTGTATTTTTTTGCTCAGAATGAAGAGAGCGAGCTCCCTCAACTTCCTCAACAAGAGCAATGAGGAGACTACACAGGTACGAGGTTTCATTCATGTATTCATGACACCTGCTACAGCACATGATTTAACTAGGCCCGTGCCGTCTGAATGAAACATAATCATTAATATTGCAATATTGTACATTTCAGAAAATTCTGTTTTTGGAGGATCCAGTTAATTAAATACCCCACAAATCCAGTTCTGTCATCTCACAGCTTTAACATTAACTGCTCTTTTTTTTTTTTTTTTTTAGGACGCCAACACCGGATTCTCAGACTGCAGGGGACTAAGCGCCAGCAACGTGGACCTATCCAGACGCAGCTCCCTGATTGGCTAGACAGAGACAGGAGGCGGGACTCAGGAGACACAGAGCGGCCCGATGAGGAGAGGCTGTTTGCAGCTTGGTTTGATCAAACAAACACACCTAAAGCTCAAAGCGAGATCAAACACTTGCACCTGCAGCATTATTTTTTATATAACACTGAAAAAAAAAAGCATTAAACGTCACTAAACGTCATCCTGTAAGACACAGTCCGTCATCCTGTAAGACACAGTCGCTGCTGCTGCTGCTTCGCTGTACAAACTGCTGCCCGCGATCAGAAAAAGAGAATATTTAGATACACATTAATCAGCATGCTGCTTACTAGAAAGTGGAATGTCTGCACCTGAACACCTCGTGTTTTTGACTCATAGCACCGTAGCAAAGCATCGTATCGACATCGTGGTCTCTTCGATCTACACTCTCACGTGCAGACACTCAACCTTAGGTAGGCCAAACCTACTCCGGTTTCAGTTCAGAGAGAAGCATTGCACTCTGTATATTTCACCAGTAGCATGTTTGCTGATGCTAACCACACATCGAATGCATCACAGACGGTAAAAATGGTACAGTCCGCTTAGATTTTATCAGAGAAAGGAGAATAGAGAGTACAGGCTCTTCGATCTTTGGGGATATTCAAAAAACATTAGCACTAACCATTTAAACCTCACTTTTTGCCTTCTTGTTTTTTTTTTTTTTTTTATGTATATACAGTTTTAAATTATTTGATATTTCATTCTTTGTATATAGTGAATATTGATTTTCTTTTTTTTGTTTTCATTTTGTTTTTCTTTTTGTTTACACTTTATTGGTTTAAAGAGGGTCTCAGTTGGAGAAAATACGACTTTTTTGATGGGGTGACGACTGGAGAAGAAGATAAGATGAAAGGAAATATTGAAATGAGCACTTAGGTAAAATGCTGATAAATTTAGTACCTCAATCACTGAAGTCTGCTGACATTCACAATACGCGACAAGGTTTCAGTCTAAACTGTAATAATGCACTTTGAGCGTGACAGTACTGTATCTGGTAGTTTCCACTGCGTCCTCAGCTGGTCAGGCTTGCAGCAAAAATGTGTTTTTCAAATGAATTTTCTTGGTGGCCTCATAGGTTGCTCTCACAAGAACCTTAAAGTAAAAAAAAGGAAAGTTCATTTGAAAGTAAATTCACAGTATGTGGTATAACAAGTTTAAACACTATAAACATTACTTTCAGGTAACTTTCCCCCATGTCTACCATGAAAAATGATGGAAGTCTGACAGATGTTGAAGGAAAATGCTGTGAAAGACATATTTAAATACAATTTGTTTACAATCATGAAACCGGGATATTCAAGGCATAATCAACCCTCATTTAAAAATATGGGTAACTACTTTAATTATTGGTTCAAAGCTGGTGCAGTGCATCAGCTACAGTATGTTTACTTTTATGAATTCCTCTTGTGAATTGTTTTTCCCTCATTTTGCTGTTGCTGAATATTTATCATGTTGTACAAAACAATCCTCAGTTTTATATATTTAATGCTGACCTGGATGGAACTCATCAGTCGTAATCAAAACACCGGCAGAGATCTGACTGTTGACCATCCGTCCTCAATGAATTTTGTTGTGCTGATGCGTTTTTCCTGTTTTGGCTCCAAGCTTTTATGTTGAAGGTACTGAAAACTGATTATTTGAATGTTACATTTCATGTTGATTGTGCGGTCCGGTGACATTTACGCTGGATTTTTGTGCTCTGCTGTTTGCAAGCGGGCGCTAAACTCCACCAAAATAAGACCAAAACCAAGGGAACTGTCCACAGAATGTACACGTCTTATTATGTGAAGTGGAAATCAGGCTCAGCAGGTTGTGGCATCACTTCCTCAACTGGGATCAGATTGTCAGTGAATTGCTTTGTTTTTTTTTTTGGGCTTTCTTTTGTAAGTTTTCCTTTCTAATATAGGAAAGCCAAAAAAAATTTAATTCTTGACAACCTGAGTTTGATTTCAAAAAATGTGAAGATGCAGGTTTTGTTGTGAAGGCACTTTGTCAACGATGGTGCGTGCACACCATCGCCATGTGCCGTGGATAACCCGCAGTCGCCCTTCTTGAAATCACCTTTTGACGAGGTCACGTTGCTGAGTCTGAGAAAAGTGCTAATTATTCTATCAGCTTCTGATTGTGCTGTGTGAGGTGGCACAGGTTTTTGGATAGTAACAAAAGAAATACATGCATGAGGGGACGAAAGAGCAAAGCAAGTGTGTTAAAGCAGGGAGGGGGTCAGTGTTAAAAAAGAAAAAAACAAAGTGCTTCTGAAAGACGACGTGGGAAGAAAAGTGCTTTAAGTGTTGTTCGCAGCAAATAATGTACAGAATTATCAGTATACTACCTTTATATGTATGTTTACTGTATGTCACTTGTACACACACACACACACACACACACACACACACACACACACACACAAAACAATGTTGGGAAATTCCTTTAATCACAAACTCAATCTCAACACCATGTAGTTGTGTACAAAAGTTAGAGATTCACTAATTTGTAGTTGGAAGGTCTCCAAAAAAACAGTTCTTTCCTGACTGTGGGTTCCTCTACACACCGTACTGTAATACCAATATTAATCAATCATTTACTGTATTAATCAGGTACTTGTTCACCCCTGGGTTAGTTTCTCTGAAATCTCTCAAGCTTCTCAGGCTTCGTTATGAAACTCCATTAAAGTATGAATATTAACGCACTGTGTTGCTCAATAAAACGGCTGAGAGGAAAATAAAAACTGCTCCGGTTGTAAATGTTTGTCCTGAATCTCTGTTGCTGGAAGATTTCGATCCAAAACTCGAAAGATAAATCAGATCTTTGTTTCTCTGACGTCCAAATATTAACGGAGATCGGTGCATTTACGTGGAGCCATTGGTGGTAAATGTTGTGGGTACGAGGGTCTTGTATATGTATAAGTTCAGCTTCTATATTGCTGTGAAGGGGCCAACCTAATGTGTATTTTATCAAAGGTTCAATAAATACAATTCCACTTTTCAAACTGATTCTGTGTCTCGTACATTTTCATCCACATGCTGTCAGAAAATGTCAAGATGATATTCACCTTCTTTCTTTGAGATGGTTTTGACCATTTCAAAGTGTGTGTGTGTGTGTGTGTGTGTGTGTGTGTGTGTGTGTGTGTGTGTGTGTGTGTGTGTGTGTGTGTGTGTGTGTGTGTGTGTGTGTGTGTGTGTGTGTGTGTGTGTGTGTGTGTGTGTGTGTGTGTGTGTGTGTACGTACACACACGCTTCACTGCTAGGGCTGGAAGTGTTAACCGTACGCTGCACCATCGCAGCTTTCATAGAGGTGAGCCTCTGTATGTAACTTCCTGTCTCAACGACAGCCCACAAGAAGGAAACCAGGCTCACCAGGGTTTATGTAGAGAATCGACAACACATTCACAGACTGATCAGCTGTCGCATTGCTGAGATACGATCCTGCGTTTGAGGTAAAAGACAGGAGCTTGAATGAACCAGGATTAGCAAGTAAGGTTACTTTCATTGAGTGTCTTGAGATGTTGTTTGTGTTTTTATTTTGGTAATAGGAAATTCAAAAATAGCTGTTGTGAGTCTGTATGTAGCTTAATGATATCCTCATCATTAAACTCTATATTTATTTGAGTCCCATAAAGGTTTCACTGCAAATGTTTGTCTTTTTTGGAGGCCAGAAGGTATTAGTCACTTATAATGTGTCACTTTCTATTTCAAACTGATGGTTCCATTAATAATACGTGGTACAGGAGTTGACTGTTTTAGATTTGGACTTTGACACTTGATAAAATGTTCATAAGTACCTATTGAAAACTACAAATGATGTCCTCAACAGCTAGTGTTTAAGTAAATGTATAACACAATGTTTGTTTGTTTCTGTAATAATCCGCAAACTAATCCCACCTTGCCACAGGAGCTTTCTCCATGTCCGCAGTGGCTCCCTCCAGTCCCGCGCCGGCTCTGGTCCATTTCCAGCTCGGCCTGTTCAGGGAGATGGTTCAAGTCCCTGCTGGCAACCTGAGCTATCGCCATGCCAAGAGGCTGGCCGCGGAGATCATAGAGCGCAAGGTAATCAAAACCTCCCACTGGTGGCCTCCTTTCACACTGAATTCTCAGGGTATTACACAGCAGATCAGGCGGGTTCATAAGCAAAGGATTGTTAAAGTGGCATTTCACCGAATTTACTCATGAAGCTCAGTTTACGTGTCATGAGGAGCAGTACTCAACCAGGCTTTGGATCTTTCACTGAATGTTTACATTGCAAACCGGAGGTGTGGGGTTTGATACAAGCGTGCGATTATTCGCATTATGGGTTCCAGTGCTTTTGGAGCCTGACTGGTACTAGAAACAAAAAGTTGGGGCATTTCGGCCCCTGCTGCATCGATTTGTAGTCCCCCATCTTTATGGAAAGTGTGATACTAAAATTGCTAATCCTATCAACAAGCCAGAGCATTTAGGTTAGCCCTTGTTCTATCTAACATGTAGGCTCAAACTCAGTTTTTAATAGTACCATTGAGAAGTGGTTAAAACAGAAACTGTTTTGCTTGTGTGCAGAATATGGTCAAATCTGGTTTTGAAAAATTCAATGATGAATGATTGGGATTGTTCTCAACAAACAGCTGCTCCAGTGGACAGTTGCAGCAGCTTCAAAGAGCCAAAGTTAGCAGTAAGGTGTTTAAAAAGCCTTATTAGTAATAATTTAAAAAAAAAGGTAACTGTTCTGAAATCTGCTCTAACCCCTTACACAGTCCCACTTGGAAAATATTCAGCTGACGTTCTGAGCCTCTTCAAACTATCACAAAGTTGACTTTGAAAGGTCACCCTATGCATGAAGGAAGATTGTGTAGGTTACCGTGTTTAAGAAAACCACCAAGTGTGTGTGCATCGTTGACTGATGCATAATTTGAAACGATGTTGGTGGTTTTTGGCTGTAGTGTTTCAGGTTTACTAACATGCCTCATTTAACCTGCGTTTTATACATTTAAACTAGGTCGATAGCTTCAAACCCTCCACTTCAAGACCTCCTATGTATTTTTAAGAACTTGAGGAAGAGAGTTGGGTAATAAAAAATAAAAAAATCTTCTGTCAGAGTAAACTTTAAATCCACAGTTTGTAGGTCAGTGGTGTACTGAAGCTGTAGCTGAGGTTAAGTGAAGAGGAATTGCAGGTGTAGGTCTCAGAGTCAGCTGGTCTGGTCTTCGTGCTGCCTCAGTTAGAGAGACTGTGTGGTCGACAAGAGCACAGCAAACTTTCCAACCGCAGCCTCTCTCCCCACCCGATCTCAAACACGCACACGCACACGCACACACGCACACACAGCCTGCTTCAGTCACACCAGCCTTGATCTTTTCTGGAGTTTCCAGGCAGCAGGTCAGCAGGGTCTGAAGAGTGTGTGTGTGTGTGTGTGTGTGTGTGTGTGTGTGTGTGTGTGTGTGTGTGTGTGTGTGTGTGTGTGCGTGTGTGTGTGTGTGCGTGGCATCTGTCACATTTTGGTGCATTCACTTGTACACAAACCTGACAGCATGAGTGTGCCACTGCAAATATGTCACATACTGTATATGTGTGTGTCACTACCAGCGGAAAACCCAGAACAACTAACCTTTTTCGGGGTCTTTGTTTTTAGCCATTGATAAAAAAAATAATTAGTTCATTTTAAGAATTAAGAAAGTTTTTTTTACATGACCATTCATTTTGAATTGATTTGAAGAGATGTGGACACATATACAACTGTTAGGAATTGTTGTTTAATTGTGCCAGAGACTAATTCAACGTAATGGTCTCTAGTTTGCTTTATATTTCTCTATAATTTGTCCACCGTTTTATTATATCTAGGAAGAATTAAATGTACAGTAACAGCGAGGATTTAGAGATGATAAAATACATATCCATTCAGAAAATCTCAGATCCAGCTGATCGTGTCCCTACGTAACCTTCCTCGCGAATAGGCGGTACACTTACAGCATCGTCAGAAACGTTTTCTCAGCCAAGCTGCATATTGTGGCGCACTTTTGATATTTTACCTCCTTGCACACACGCACACGAATATAGCAACGGCTGAAGACGACTGACAAGACTGAAGATGCGGTTTTCTTCACACTATTCAGTATTTCTTTAATCTCTTATCTGCTGAGCACAAAAGGCAGATTTCTGCTCCTATTGCTGAACTAGGTCATGGTTTGTGATTGTGAAGAGATTGTTTGACTTTTACATAAGTCTTCTGTTGCTGTCTCTCTAGATGTTGAACTTTTCTCAAGGTTGAATGCATCTTTCTTTCTGACCAGGGAACAGTAACTGAGCATTTCAACTCAGCAGTTACATCAATCTTTCAACGCACTGAGACATCCAAAAATGTGATTTGGTTTAGAGCCTTCATGTGTGTCTCAATAACTTTCCCTGCACCAGGTGTCCCAAATTTTTGCTGCCAGAATTTTAAGTGACAGCTTATTTTTGTTTTGATGTTCAAGACTTGCTGCCTTCAGGCTGGATATGTTTCTGTACAGGTTCTTTGTCTTGAGATCATATAAATAAAGATATAGAGAGAAACTACGATGTGGGAAAAGGGATGAAAGAGTAGAAGATGAATAGAGATCTTCGTATTAGCTTCAAAACAGCTGGTTGATCTAAGGCTTTCAATTTGCACTTCAAAAAGCTTTAAATTTAGCTTGTGTCTTGGATGAAGCATCAACGTCTGAGCGTCTGTGTGTTCAGGCTCCAGACTGCAGCGTGGTGGGCACCGGGGAGAAGATTCTGCTGTTCAGACATCAGCCCACCTCAGAGCCGCTGCTGTACCGCCTGACAGAACAGGACGGGCTGCAGGATGGAGACCTCATCGAGGTCATCATCGCAGGTCAGAGGTTAACAATGTAGAACATGGAAATATAATGCAGTGGTGTCAAATACTTTCTCAGTAGCACTCAAAAAGCCAAAGAGGAGGATCAAATCAGTGGTGTAATCCCATCTCTTTATTTTAATCTGACTCAGAATCAGCGTCAGTGACTGAGATGAGGATCCGTCCACACTCCCTGGTGGTCCAGTCGTACCGGACGCCCACTTTCTGCCACCACTGTGGAGAAATGCTGTGGGGCCTCGTTCGACAGGGGTTAAAATGTGACGGTAAAGCCACTCTCTCTCCTCATCGTATACCTCAGTAGTGTCATTAATCAGCATATGGCTCACACAAAGGTCAAAATGTTTTTAAAACTCCAGTCCGTCTCTTCTCCACCTCTCCCTCTCTTCAGGTTGCGGGTTAGACTTTCATAAACGTTGTGCTTTCCAGTTGCCCAATGACTGTACTCGAGCACGACGGCAGGTTAGCACCAGCCTGTCCCTGTTTCCTCCCCGACGACCCCGTTCACACTCCCTGTCCAATCAGTCAGGAGGCAGTCTGGAAGAGGTAAGGAAGTATTGTTAAAGTAGGGTTACAGCATTTTAGTGGACTTTTCAATAAACAGGACATTTGGTTATATTCTCTTCCCTACCGAGTCACTGAAACCTGTTTTTGAAGGGTTTACCACTCTTAAAATCACATGTTTACACCTATGGGCAAACGACTCACCATCTGTCCCTCACCAGATCAGCATGTCCAAGCCCTCCTCCAGGCCTCCGTCCTGGGCAGAGCCCCCGGTCTGGCTGGGGATCGGGTACGGTGAGAAGAGCAGGGCTCAGGTCCCTCACACCTTCCACATCCACAGCTACACCAAACCCACCGTCTGCCAGTACTGCCACCGGCTGCTCAAAGGGCTCTTCAGACAGGGGCTGCAGTGCTCAGGTGAGACGGATGATTCAGGCTTCCTGCTTATCAAAGTGTGTATAATGGCTTCTACTAGCATGTCTCATGTATTAGTGTATATATACTGTAATTTATTATTACCAGATAGCTCTCTTGTGTCTGTGTGCTAAATACCTACCAGCGTCAACTGTTCTTCAACTCTCAAATATAGATATCAGCAATCCAATAATGGTTGACTATTTGTAATGAGATACTAACATTTGTTGCTTTGTCACACTTACACAAAACTAAATTAGCAACTGTCCATGAAGAACTGATTTCTTGGGTAAACAAATTAGCTGTTGCATCTGCATCATAGAATAACTAGTTATAACTAACTACTTAAAGTCCTTTTTCTAGCTTTTTCTGGAGCTTTCACCCACACAGCTTCCTTTGTGTTTGTTATACAGAGGTAACTCTTTAATTACCATATGAAAATGGCCCAGCACTGAAAAGATCAGATTCCTTGTTGTTTGTGCTGTTCACACTGTCAGTTCTGAGTGAGCACATACATTTAGATCAGGTTCACTGTGTCCTGCAGTCTGTACGGCGGCCTTAGAGGACCTGTTTGAGACTTGGACTGGAGTTGCTCCCACAGTGGTTTGAGACTAGAGATTTTTATATTTTAGCGCATTAACATTAAGGAAATATCTGCCGCTGTGCTGATTGACGCAACCTGAGGCAACAGTAACTCCGCAAAGTCTAAGACACAAAACAGAAACAGTAAATGCAGCGACCGCGGTATCAGAATAAAAGATGCTGGAGCGACCACATCAAACTTTATCAGGCGGCTGAACGCGCTCCTGGAGAGGTGAGTCACCTGGACGGTTAGCGGACAGGTTTGACTCTTATCTAATGTTACCTTGCTACGAGCTTTGTTGCTAACTTTACTGTAACTCTAACAAAGGTCTGTCGCTCCGCTGGCTGACGTTAAAGCATTAATAACGTCGGTTTATTGTTGACCAACTTTATTAGGTTGCATCGGTTTTAATGGGAAGAGGCATTTGTTTATTTACAGTGGATTATAAACTGTTAGTTGGAGACCCAGTGTTACTATACGGTATGGTTGTACTGTTATTATTATTATTATTATTAAGTAGGTTATTGCATGCCTAATAATATGACCAATATTTTACTGTTAACCTGATTCACCATAGTCTATATTTAGCCCAGGGGTTCCCAAATTGTTCCATGCCTAGGCCCCCAAATAACATTATGTTATGTTCTTACTTTTATTAGTGCAATAATAATGATTACATTTGTATTTAAAATACATTATAAAAAATTACATTAGATTCAGTTATATTACATTATAAGCATTTTGGTATGTTATATTATTATAAATTAGATTTTCTAATAATACAAATAATAAGAAATTAAGTAATACAATTTTTTTATTAAGGTTTTTTTTTAAGCATTTTCCATCACGTTCCCTTAAATTGTCTGAGCCTCTGTCGGCCCCCACTTTATTTTTATTTAGCCAATATTTGGTCTATCCTGTAGCTGTATGTTCATGTTACAAGTTTTAAAGGAAAGCTTTTATTGCGTGTGTTTTACATATTGCAATAGCCTGTTTAAAGTGATGATATGCCCAAAAAAAAAAAGCTGATACTGTTTGTTAATCGATAAAGGAGTGATAATAATACAGTGCATGCTTTGAAATCCTTAAATATAGCTATGCAGTGTTTGCAGACGGGATGCAGCAGAACGCTCATTAGAACCAGAAGAGACTTGGATGTGCAATTATCAAAGTCACCCTCAGTGTTTCAACCTGCCATCTCTCCTCTCTGATCATTTTGTCAGACTGCAGGTTTAACTGCCACCGGCGCTGTGAGCCGCTGGTCCCCAGAGACTGTCCGGGAGAGAAGAGAGGCGTCAACGGGGAAGGTGAGCAGCAGCGGTCCCTGGAGGGGTCTGGTTTTGTATTCTGGGCTTGTAACTGATCCCCAGCTCTGATGTTCCCATAACCCCGTGATGAGTCAAAGCTGATTCACCCTCCGTCTCAAGGGTTTTTGATAGATTCAGGACCCATTTTAGATTCCCTGAAATCTGTCCAAGTGGGGATGATGATTCAGGAAAATGTGATCAAAGCCTGGTGAGATTAAAAATAGATTTCATGGTGCCCAGAAGAGTGAATGTTAAGTACTTCCAGTGACTTTTCCTCTTACTTATTTTTGTTTATGGCAAAAAACCTGAAATCACATTCCCATCAGCCTCAACTGTGCTTTGTGTTTAGTGCTAATTAGCAAATGTAAGCATGCTAATACGCTAAACTAAGATGGTTAATATGGTACCTTAGCATGGTAGCTTGTTGACTTATAAAAAAGAAAGTCACAAAAAGCAATCAATGTCAACTAAGAAGCATTAATTGTTATTAATATTATGTCATCTTTGGTAACAAGTGAGTGAGATAAATGTGCGTCTTGGTTTTGAGCTGTTAAAGTTATTTTACTTTTTAAATTAAAATCATTTATCAAGAAAAAAGTAAAATATTTGCTCACTCCAGCTTCTCATATGTGAACATTTGCTTCTTTTATTGCTGTGTATATCATTAATATATGCTATATATCATTCATTATATTCAGGTTTCTGTCATTTTGTCGACCTAACAGTTAAATGTGCAGATAAATATTACTAAATAATATTACTACCCTAATATTGTTGCCGTGTGATTCACTTGTCACGTTCCCAGAGTTCACAGTAGTGGTTAACAGCTGCCGACCAGAACCAGAGGACGATGATTCAGAGCTCACCAGTACAACAACACTAGATATCTCTGACGATGAGATGTCCACCGACGGAGACACGATCACCGAGACCAAGAACGCAGAGCAACCGCGAGAGCCGATGAGGTCAGAGGGTTGTAAATGTATTCAGGTGATGTCATCCAATTTAAAAAAGGTGGCACAGACGTCGTCCTGATGATGTCAGAAGTTTGACTCACAGCTGTTGTCATCTTTCCAGTCATTCCTCTCTCAGTTCATTTGCACAAGTTTGGTTGTGTCAGTGAGCTTTAGGGCCATACTGCCACCTAGAGGCATCTAGAAGAGACTTTCAAAGGACACAACTGCTCCATTAGTGACTTTAATTCAGTTTTTATCCCTCCATCTTCTTCTTTTTCACGTCCCTGTTGTTGTTTTGTCTTCCGTCCGTCCCATCAGTCCGTGTTTCAGCAGCTACATCCCTCTGATGAGGCTCGTCCAGACGGTGCATCACACTAAGAGGAGAGCCGGTGGAGTCCTGAGAGAGGGATGGCTGCTGCATCACACCAACACTGACACACTGGTGAGACACACACACACACACACACACACACACACACACACACACACACACAGATTAAAAATGTGGCTAAAAACAGTTCGTCTCTTAATCACTCACTTTGCAGAGTCCAACAAATTCTACTAAAAAGCACTTTTTCAAGTTTTGTTTTTGATACCCAGTTCATGTGTATTTGGTATAAGAGTCTGTATTTATGTTGTTTAGTTTATATGTCAGGTGAGTCTGAAGGTTTTGTGTGATTCTTTTATTAACCTAAAATAAAAATACATGTATCTTTAAAAACCATCTTCTTCTTAACTTTTTCTAACCTCAGTTCTTTGCTGCTTTGCCTCTTTGACACATTTGTGAAGTAAAATTGTTGTTTAAATGTGTGTTTGTGTATGTTGCTGTTTCATTTTTTTGTTATCCAAGCTTTCTTTTGTTTGTTTGTTTTGGTTGAGCCTTGTTCACTCTCTGCAGGTTGTGCATTTAGTTTCTATTTTTCACAAACACACTAATAGCCTCTCATCTAATCAACTATAACACGCAGGTGCAGATTTAACCGACAGGACAGCAAGTTGGCGAGTCTGTTCTAATGCGTCCTTTGGGATTAACTTGTTAAAAAGCCATTAACGTCTTGCCTTTATAAATGATTTCTATCATTTGTTTTCTCAGAGGAAACGTCATTACTGGATCTTGGACTGGAAGAGCATCACTCTGTACCAGAACGAGAGCAGCACCAAGTACTACAAGGTAGAACTCATGACCTGCAGAATCTACAGTTTCCTGTGGTTTTCTGTGAAAAAAACAGAACCCTCTCTCTGTCTCTCTCCTGCAGGAGATCACTCTGTCCGAGGTGCTGCAGGTCCGAGGCCCCTCCCAGCTCTCCGTGCCCTTGTTGCCAGGCAACTGCGCGCACTCCTTCGAGGTGGTGACGGCCTCTCTGGTGTACTGCGTGGTGGCCGGAGAGAACGGGCCGGCCTGGGAGAGCGCCATCCGTCAGGCTCTGATGCCCGTCCAGAGCAGTGGGGCAAACGGCGAGGAGAACCAGGGTGAGCTGAAAACAACCCCTCTGGGTATTAACGTTACCAGATGTTAATGAGAAAATGTTTCTTTTTATAGTTTATGTAACCAAGCACAACTTAATGAGCTGTTTTTCTATTAATAATTTAATGTTGGCAGTGGAACATGTATCCAAACTAATTTAATGAGTGAAAATGTATGTAGTCAAAAACAAACACTATTAATATAATGTTACTTGTTGGAAAATAAGTGCTAATTAAACTATTTGCATCCATTAAATGATCTTTCTATTTGAATGAATGTGTTTGCAGATAGAGATTCACGCAGAGACAGCGTGGTAAGTGTCGGATTCATACTGCTGAATTTCTAATAATACAGTGAGGAGATGTTTAACATACCTCTGTAGTGTGTTGTACACTGTTAATGTGTGTGTGTGTGTGTTGTGTGTGTTTCAGGACATCAGCTCAGTGTATCAGATCTTCACAGATGAGGTTTTGGGCTCCGGACAGTTTGGAGTCGTATACAAAGGTGAACTGAGTTTAACCACATTGTTAAATCATTACAATATCAGTCAGATGTTTATCAAATAACCAGCTGAGATTTGGCAGGTTTGCCTGCTTCCTTTACCTACCTTGTTTCCTGGAAAGAAATGTGTATTTTTGTACTAATTTAACAATTAAGTTATTTTTGTTAGTTGTGTTGTTGATTCCAAGAAGAATCTCCTCTTTTAAACCGTAATTCTTTAAAACACTAATTAACTGTTGATTCATCAGCTTCATATTTTGGATCGCTTGCTTCCTGGTAGACAGACAGATTAATTGGAATGAATTAATTGGAAGTGTGCTTAATTGAACACTGTCTCTACTTTAGTGCTAATTGTAGGGTTCCTGTTTAGGAAAATCAATATGAAATTATGGACCTGTAAAATAAAACATCACCAAAAATGTCTGTAAAAGTTTTAAGATGCAGATATTGAAACACTGGTTATGAGCCATTTAGAGATCTGCAAAGAGACGTTTAATCTCAGTGAGGCTCTTTCCCTAGTTAAATAAAGTTATATAAGTGATCATTCTTCAGGTACTCACAGGAAGTCGGGTCGTCCCGTCGCCATCAAAGTCATCGACAAGACGCGCTTCCCCACCAAACAGGAGAGACAGCTGAGGAACGAAGTGGCCATCTTGCAGGTACTGATACATGTTTTCATTCATTTGTATTCATTATAGGATTATTTTCTCTAACTGTGTGTGTGTGTGTGTGTGTGTGTGTGTGTGTGTGTGTGTGTGTGTCCAGAATCTGTCCCACCTCGGGGTGGTTCTGTTGGAGGGGATGTTCGAGACAGTGGAGCACGTCTTTGTCGTCATGGAGAAGCTCCATGGAGACATGCTGGAGATGATTCTGTCCAGTGAGATAGGCCGACTCCCTGAACGCAACACCCGCTTCTTGGTCATGCAGGTAAGGTCACTTTTGGATCAGTAAATGTACAGGAATTATTTAAATGATAATAATTTGAAGAACAGGAGCCCACAAGGGGTCAAAAGATTAATCTGAGGTGTCATGAGATAGTGAATAAGGTGGAGAAAAAAACATGTCTCCTGACTGTGTTTTTGTGTGTATGAATTACTGGACATTCTTAAATTTAATTTAATGATCAACAATCTGGAAGGGATTATCACTCTTTGGTTAAACTGATTACAGCTCATAAACATTCAACTTCAGACCGCCAAAGTCTGGGAACCAGAGGTAATGCTTCTTTATCTTCATCACTGGGTAGTTGTGACCAGTAGCAGTGGCTTGAAAGCCGGTTTTTGTTCTTGCTTGTCCCAGTTTAACCCTTCTCTTTAGATTTTCATTTTTATAGTTTTCATCTGAAAATCAGTATACAGTATACAAATTGTATACAAAAGAAACCAAAAGCTTACACTAGTGTTCCACTAAAGTAATTTAAGTCCAGACTCTTTTAGGCCATCCCTCAGCCTGGAGGCCAAAAGCATCTATTAAAAAGTTTTTTGCGTCTCCTGCTTAAATAAAGTTTAAGAATATTGATGTATCGTCGTTCTCATGTTTTTGCCCTCTGTGTGTGTGTGTGTTGCAGATCCTTGAGGCTCTGCGGTATCTGCACTTCAAACATATCGCTCACTGTGACCTGAAACCTGAGAATGTACTGCTGGCCACTGCGGACCCTTTCCCTCAGGTAGCGTTTTGTTCTTATACGTGTGTGTTTGACAATTTGTCACAACAGCGTATTAAATCCACTCGGTGTCGTAGGTGAAGCTGTGCGACTTCGGCTTTGCCCGCATCATCGGTGAGAAGTCCTTCCGCCGCTCGGTCGTGGGCACGCCTGCCTACCTGGCGCCCGAGGTGATCAGCAGCAGCGGCTACAACCGCTCTCTGGACATGTGGTCCGTGGGCGTCATCATGTACGTGAGCCTGAGCGGCACGTTCCCTTTCAACGAGGACGAGGACATCAAACAGCAGATCACAAACGCTGCCTTCATGTACCCACGACAACCCTGGGCCTCCATCTCACTGGAGGGTAAGCGTGGTTTGTTTTTTCTGTTGGTGCATTCAAGGACACTCGGATGTAAACTACCAAACCTTTTCACGTAGTTCATGTTTGATTAATGCTTGCCCTCCTGGGTTTGTTCTGACCACAGCTCTGAATGCAAGGCTTTTTGAAAATCCATGATCAGAATTCAGAGTGTCCTTGAATGCATCATCAAGGAGAGTTAAAAGATGTTACCTGGCAACTGTATTAATTGTAATAGAGATTCAACTTTGAATCAAATAATGGCAACTATATGTTCACTGTTGTAAATGACAGTGAAGTAAGTTGAAAGTTGAATTAATTAATGGAATAACTAAAAATACACTGAAAATCCTCCACTTTTATATATTTATTTACCTCTTAATATCAATTTTGCTTTAATTTTCCCTTTTAAGTGTCTTTAAGAATTTCCTCTTTTAAACCATAATTCTTAAAACAATTAACTGTCTTCTGGTAGACAGATTAATTGGAATTAATAAATTAGAACTGTGCTCATTTAACACACTGTCTCTAATTTAGTGCAAATTAAAGGGTTACTGAAAAATGAATATGAAATCACAGACCTGTAAAATAAAGCATCACCAAAAATGTACTTTAACACCACATGAAACATTTAAAAACCTCTCTGTGTGAGTTGGTTTGAAGAGCTTTCAGCATTCATACCCAACAGAGTCACAGTCTTCTCCTGTTGGCCACTGGGTGACTCCAGTGGACCACTTTAATGACAATCTGAGTAAATCCTCTGTGCTCATCTCTCTTCCTCTCCCTCTTCCTCTCCAGCTGTGAGTCTCATTAATAACCTGCTGCAGGTGTCGGTCAGACGGAGGTTCAGCGTGGGCAAAGCACTGGGACACCCCTGGCTGCAGGTCAGATACATTCCACATTTATAATCAGTCTGTCAACTTAGTACGAGCTACTACCTGTAATAATGTGTTCATGATGACATCTACCATCACTAAAGACATATACAGTGTAATTATTATCTTTCCTCCTGCAGGACTTCCAGCTGTGGTGTGACCTCAGGGAGTTCGAGCAGAGGATGGGCTGCAGGTATCTGACGCACCAAGGGGACAATGAGCGCTGGATACGCTACGCCCAGGAGAGGGGCATCAGCTTCCCGACCCACCTCTGCTGGGACCCCGACAACGACATGTGACCTCGGCCCGGAGGCTAAAGGTTGGGACAGTTTGTAGTCTGTACAGCTCAGATTAAACCAGAGATGAGACGTCACACTCCAAAACATCCTGAATTTGTTGATCAGCAGTCAACCAAATATCTTTGTATCTTATGTCAAATGTTAGAATTAGGGTGTTTTGTAGTACAAGTGACACGCCCATTAACTCATACTTTCACTTGTACTAATGTGATAAAGAAACACAAACAACTGCTGTTTAGTAATATAATTTTCCTTTTTTATTCCAAGTTGTAGTTTTTAAAATTTAACTGTGTGAAAGTGAGTTTTTGTGGCATTGGTGATGATGGACAGAATGAATGGAGGAGAACGGAGCACAAATGAAATTTAAAATATCACCATCATGCACAGGGAGGAGTCGACTCGCACTGATTATCCTGGCCGACCTGTCAATGGGACCAAAACCCTATTTGCTTCCTCACTGACATAGGCCTGCTATGGTCCCATGTACAGTATCCATTCTTCTTATTTTGTCCACAACTTTCCTGATGCCCTGTTGTCTCTCGCTGCTCGACACCTCTCTCTGTCTGAGTCCCTCCTCCATGACGTAAAAAAAATAAAAAAATCACGTTCATATGTTTAGATGTGATGTTAAATTTAGGAGAGAGGTGTGTGGGATCGTTCTCCCTGGCCATAACAGTTTGTCTTTCTGTCTTCGTTCTTAAGTCCAGCCATGGCCCTCTTTGTCTCTTATTTACCCACAGTGCTTTGCTCTGAGTTGCTCTCTCTGCCTGCTTCATCTCCAGTGCTCCCGTTCACCCTCCGTTTCTTCCTGAGCTTAAGGCTTTTAAGATCTTCAGGTTACATTCAATCTTTGCTAACATTCAGGTTTCACAGTACTGTGCTATTTATTTTCTAACAGAGTGAGAACTGGCTTTGTAACATCGTAGCACCTGACTTGCTTTGCTCCTCTGCTCACTGAAATGTTAACAGGCTCCTAATGATACTGTTTGTTTTTGTATGATTAAGAGTCAGAGACTCACAAAGACAGCGTTTCTAAACTTCAACATAGCATGCATCTGCACAAATACACAACCAAGCCAACTGACCAACCAGCTTTTTTTTTTTATCACGTTGTCTTCTTTAATTACCCTTCTACAAAAAATATGTCATCTGGAGAGAGAGAGAGAGAGAGGGGGGCAGAGCAGGAGGCTTTGCTCAAAAAAACTTTTTTTTTCCTCTCCCTCATTACCTCCTTCTGTTAAACGTCTCCTAAAGGCAGGTATGTTATATGTATGCTGCGTACATAACTTCAGTGCAATACCTGGCACATTCCTGGTTTTTAAAGGCACTCTGACAGACATGAGGGACAAGCTGACCAGTCCGAACATCTAAGATTTGAGCAAAGTCTTCTACTCTCACCCTCTCTGGGTAGTGTTTTTAGGAGGGGAAGAGGAGGTGGGGAGAAGGGGAAGAAAGTTAAGATTTGAAAGAGGATGATAAGAACAAAGAATATAGAAGGACAATGGAAGGGGTTTAAATCGCTCTCTCCACAGAGGAGAAATAGGGGGAGCTGGGAGGAGGAGAGGAAGAGAAGCGGTTTATAAGTCGCTCTCTCCGTAGAGGGCGCTGGAGAAGGAGATGTAGTCCAGAGCGCCGGTGGGGCAGTCGGTTCCAATGAACCTGGTCATGCGGCTGATGCAGTACTCGGCCTGCTCTGGTGGCAGCTCCCTGCGCAGCTCATCCACTGTGATGTAATTCTGGGAAGAGAGAGGGAGGCAGGCAGTGATTAAAGTGATTGTCCCACAGCACAAACACACTGCCAGGAGTTGAGCGCTGCCTTGTACTGGAAACAAATTTTAAAAAAGGATGTAGGCTGAGAAATTTAACTGCAAACAGTCTTTGATTCTCAAGCTGAATTAAGCTGAATTAAGATGGGGAATTTGGTGCTTATTTTTGTTTTGGCCATTATTCCTGTTGCTTATAACATTTTACTCATCTAGTGAATTGCCGGGATCTGGGTTCAATGACAATGTTTACATGCACTCAAGAACCAACAAAGTGAGATTAGTGGGTTAGCCAGCTCTTTGTGCTCAACAGTTTTCTAGGATCATGAAGTTGGCTCACTTAACTGTTAACCTAGTGCACAGCTAACCTGCTAACTAATTTCAGAGGATCAGATCACTGGAAAACCTGATAATTCCTACAAGAGTTTTACTGTACTAAATTTTACTAAATACATAATGAATATTTTAATTGCATTTTAATTGCGCAGAGATTCTTTAATTCCTGACTGGCTTTCTTCAGCCTCTTTACTTGTGTCATATCTTTCTACGTGTAAAAGATTATTAGAAACCAATTCACACATATACACATATAACTAAGAAATTAAGATCGACTTGTTCCCAGATCTTAGCAATTGCTTGGATGTGTAAATATATAAATGACCAAAAATACAAAAGACAGAAGATTTCAAATATAAGTCCTGTTTGTGTCAGTGGTAAATGTGGGGTTAGATATTTTCTGGAGAAAAGTTAACAGGATGCTGTATTTGTCTGCTTACCTTGTCTGAAGCCAGAATCTTGAAGGAGGCCATGACCTGTTCTGCAGTGTCGGTCTCGGCAGTCTCACGGGTCATGAAGTCAATGAAGGCCTGGAAGGTCACCACGCCTGTGTTGTTGGGGTCCACCAGGGTCATGATGCGAGCAAACTCCACCTCACCCTGTCAGACAGAGAAGGATTTTATTATTCCAACATCAGTTAGTACATACATTTTAAATGACTTGACTTAAAAGCTCTGATCTCTTGCTACTTTCACATCAGAGTGGACACTCAGGTTTTCCAATTTATTCAACAAGCTGAGTACGTGTTGCACTAACCAGATCGTAACCCATGGAGATAAGGCAGGCACGGAAGTCGTCTGGGTCCATCATGCCGTTTCTCTTCTGCAAAGGAACAACACAATTGTGTTTTAATTATTAGGACAAATACTTAAGCAGCTCTTATGTTATAGTAATAAAGCCCATGTTTTCATTTCTTGCTGTTGCTGGAATATCTAGCATTAACTTAAGTCATGTGATCTTGAAACTTTTAGAACAAAAAGACATTTATCTGTCAGATTGGTTTTGATGCCTCAAGAATAAAATATGAGATCTGTCCTGTAGTTTGTGGTGTTTTTTTTATGCATGTTTATGTTTTGAGACATCAGCAATTTAAAACATTACTGAATCATTTCAGTGTACATCCAGATCCAGCCTCACCCTGTCGAAGTGGTTGAAGGAGGCCCTGAACTCGTTGAGCTGCTCCTGGCTGATGCCCTTGGCATCGCGGGTCAAGATCTGGTTCTCCACCTCATTGATGGTTCTGGCGATGGTGGTGAGCAGCTGCTCCCAGCCCACGCGAACATGCTGCAGAGGTGGAGGAAACACACTTTAAAAAAAGAAACAAGAGGTGGGAGGACCAGCCTGTCGTCATGGCTGCAGTGAAGTCCACTGTACCTCCATGGTGTAGTTGGTGTGCTTGTTGTCGAAGATGAGGGACTCCTGGCTGAGCTGGTGGTCTCCCTCCAGCTTGTCAATGTTGGATTTATAGTTGATGATGTTCTGCTCGTACTGCTTCAGGCTGTTCATCTGTTCCTCCAGGGAGCCAGCAATGTCCACAGACACGTGGCTGATCTCCTGCAGGCGTACACAGGCAGTAAACAGGGAGGGGAATGAGAAATAGTTGATTGACAAGTTCTGTGAATATTTGTTTTTATTTGCTCTTGTATAATAACAGGTGTTTGTGTACATAGATAAATGTATTTTTATTTACTGCTCATTAGTTTCTGATCTGTTAATTCATCTTTAAATGTGCAGCCATGACTGATATCTATCAGCAGGAGCTAAAACCTAATCATGACTAACCATAAAATCTCATCCCAAGACTGTATTTTAATGTAATTCATTGTTTTATACTGTTTTATTGCCTTTTTATAATCGATTCTGTGGTCAACATTATTTCACCTCAGTAATCAAAGTGTCATCATTACATACTTATGTCAAAATTTGTCAATATTCTTCATCCAGTGTCCCAAATAAAAACATTTTAAAGAAATGCCATAATTGTCTTTTGGTAACTTTAAACCTTACAAAGGTTAAACTGCAGTTTCCTTTCCTGCCTCTGTCAGTCTGTTGTAGTGCTATAGCAACACTGTACCTCCATCTTGGTTTGAATCCAGGGTCCGATGATGTTGGCCTGGGCAGCGAACTGGCGCCTCAGCCTCTCGTTGGCCTGCTGTCTGGCCACCTCCTCCTGGAGCATTTGGTCTCTGAGGGGAACAAGGTGCTTCACCTGCAGGTAAACACACAGTCACAAGAGCTTTTTAACACACAGCAAAAGGAATGAGACTTTATGTTGCAGCTCTTTCATGCAAAAAAACATGCAACCAGTGTGCTGCTTGCCTTCCTGCTGCATCTTTACATTCAATCCCATTTACAACTCTAGATATTATAGTCATAATCTACAGTTAATGCTGCAAACTGTCCAAACATTACAGTGAATTTAGGAATGTCTGTGAATTATATATAGTTGGTTGAGTCCAGCTTTAGTTATTTCATTTGTCCCAAAGGAATAAATCTATTTTTCCAGCACAGATAGCGCAGTCTTGCAGGGTTACACACATCTGAGAGATTGTGTTCTGCAGTTATTTTGAATTGCCCTGAGAGCTTGCAGCCAGCAGTATTCAGTGTCGCTCTAACCTAAATGTACTGTACTATTTCTGACCTGTCACTATGTATGTACAGTTCTTATTATTAGCCAGATGACCAAAAGCAGCGCACAGAGAGGAGGCTAGGTTGACATTTCCTGTTTACACAGCGTCAGCTTGCACACACTAGTATTTAAAAACTAGTAATAAAAGCAGATTCAGAACGTGATCCAGCTTAGTTTGGATAAATGATTTATAATACAATATAAATGATACATCAGTTATTTCCCAGGCTCCTGCACTATGAATTATAATTATTTGACTCACAGCGTCCCACTTATTGCTGATGTCCTGGGGGGAGAGGTTGGTGTAAGGGTTGATTCCGGACAGCTTGATGCCGTAGGTCTGGGCGATCTTCAGGATTTCGTTGTGGATGCCCATGGTGGCCATGCGCTCCTTGTCGGCCTCGGGCAGAGTGGCCTTGAACTGGTCGTGAGCGGTGATCAGACTCTAAAGGAGGAAATTAAGACATGGAAGTTGCAGTGTTTCACATTAAGGTTTACACAATTTTTGAATGAACAGACAAGTCTGCCAAAACAGTGCAGCTGAATGACTTCCCCGAGTCTAAAGCAAGCTAGCAGATGTCCCATACCAAATATTCCCAGCCCCATCCCATGGGACTCTAGCACAGTAAATAAAGTACAGTATCTACCTGGGGAAAATACTGATACTGTACATATTCCTACATGTTGTTTCCTCTTTAATACTGACTCTTACAGATTCCTGCCAGTGCACACACTTTGCTTTTCAGGACACAATTGAAAATTATTTAAGTAAACTATCACAGAATAGTGGGATTGTTTTATGGATTTTATAATGCATACAAGTGTACATTGACAGAAAGACTGCATGTGGAGCTTTTAGAGCTATAAACAAGTGTGAGTAAACACATTTTAAACTGAAGGTAAATAACTGCACTGCAGTCTTATTGTGATGATTGTACCCAGTGATTTATTTATATTTTCTAAAACATATTTTAACATCCTGTAGGCCAATAAGATGATTTACAGGACACATAGTAATTACTATTTGATACAAGCCTGATTACAAAATAAAAGTCAAACACATACTGAAACAACATTAAAAGTACAGTGGCTGTACCTGGATCTCCTCAATGCTGTGGACAATGAACATGTCCTGCAGGTCCTCCATGGCTCCGTCCATCCAGTTGTTGAAGGGCGCCGCCCTCTTGGCAAACTCCAGGTACAGCTGGTCAATAGTCTCCCACAGTTTCTCCACACGCTGAAGACACAAACAGTTAAGATTCATATTACTAAAACAAAATGGTGTGGACAGAAGCACTGTCTTGTTTCTTCTGTCCCCTGACTTCATTTCGAAATTGGTACATGAAAAAAAATGTTTCACCTCCAGTGAGTCCCTCCTCTTCTGAGTGAGGGTGCCCAGGTTGTCCCACTGGTCACAGATGCCCTGGCAGCGGGCGTTCACTGTGGCAGCATCGTGGTAGTCCAGCTCACTAGGAGACAACAGAGTGAATCACAGCAACATCTATAATTTAATGTCAGATAGGCGACAAATCTGTTGAGTTAATTTCCAAAATGTTCCATTTAATAATCCATTACAGAAATGTTGTCAACACAAGAGAAAATTGCAATTTTAATCTTAAAACTAAAATATCTAATGGTAGAAATCAGTTCATGAAATGTACTGCTGGTTTACAAACAAAACATCATCTACAGAACCTTTAAACTATTCTCCGAAGTTACAATCATATTTTTCCCCAGATATCTGGATCACACACACACACACATTGGATTTTTATTCTTTTCTGCATTTCAGAGGATCATTTGAGAACATTCTGCTTTAAAGTATTTAATATCTACGTTTGAAGTAATGAATAATAAATCATGGGTGGCACGCATACATTTCCAGTGCATATTATACTGTATATAGCATCAAAGGAATCATCTCAAAACTATCTGTGAAAAAAGCCCTGAGGAGTGGCGAGGAATAAGGAAATAGTGAGATCAGAGGTTTCTGCTCTTTCATGAATCATCCTTTCATCTTTTTATCGCTCTCATTAATATGCTTTCCACTCATATGTTGCATCTTTTTGTTCTTCACTGTATTCACATCCTTGTCTGCTCTCAACATAACGCGACCATTAGGAGTCATAAAACTCCTCAGTGGCTCACTTCCTGCTCTCCAGTCCCTCCTATAGTTCTCAGTCTCAATATCGCAATCCTCATTCCTCGAATTTCCATCTTACTTCAGCTCCTGGGCGATAGCAGCGATCTGCTCCACTCTGTCCTGGTGAGCGGCAAGGTCGCTCTCGAATGCCTCGTGCTTCCTCATCAGGGCTCTGATCTCCATCAGAGAGGCCGACTCGTAGTCCTTCTGGGACAGCAGGTCCTCCTTACCTGAAACGCAGAAACATTTTACTACCTGATCTTCACATTTATTCAGCTCTCAGTGCATCCATTTGATCTTTTGTCTTCCCCCACTGCAGTTAGACCTTTTCTCACTCACTATGGCATTGCCCATAAATTACTCCAGATAGTTTCCTCACTCTATATAGTTTTATTATGTGATTTATCAAGATCTTACCAGTGTTTAATGAGTATTCTGTTATATTTTTTCTTCATTAAATAGTGTAAAGGAAAGTGTTTGAGCTTCATTGTGCAGAATGATGTATGCACCAGAGTTTGAGACTAAAAGGTTGATTTTTTACATTTATCTGCTAAAGGAGGAAAGTTTCACCGTGATCACCTTTAATTCTGAGTGAATTACAACTAGTTTGGAGGCCAATCAGGGTTCAAATGCAACCAAAACAATATTGCCAAAACATAAATGCACCTTAACCAACTGAGCCCCCGTAACATCCTTATAAATTTAGTTCTTTAATTAAGTAATTATTACTAGCCCTTTTTCTTTGGAAACTACAGCACCTTCAGGAGAGGCAAAAATTCAAACCCCACGCATAATGATCCTGGTGTGCAGGAAATTATGTTTATCACACCTCCCTACCTCCAGTCCAGGACTCATGCATACTGCACTTCTGCTTGAACTTCTCAGCCAGATGATCGAGTCTCTCCAGGCGGCGGATCTCGGTCAGCAGCCACTCCTCGTAGCCCTTCTCCACCTGCTCGAGACCCTTCCAGGCGTTGGCAATATCCTGGAGGAGAGAGAGCGAACAAGAGTTTTGACCCGTTTTATTGACACTCGTTTGAGGGAAATGAGTGTTCAGAATGTGAATAATATAATGTATGCCTTGAGAACATTTTAATATCTATGTAAATTTTTGAGAAATTAGAAATGACTTCTCCATTATTAGCATTATGAAGTGAAGTTTCTATTTGCATTTCTAACCCACTTCTGAAGTCTGACAAATGTTCTGTGCTCTTCAAGTTTCTTTCAGCTACTTGTTTTTTCATCCTTTCCACTTTTTTTCCCCAGAATAAATTGCTGCTGTTCCATAAAGACTTTGTATCTGTAGTTAAGGGAACATTATTGTTTTTGTTACGTCACAAAGCAAGGGTTTTGAAAGGATTTTACCAGCTTTAGGGATATAAAACAACATAGGGGGAAGTAATCCTTCAACGGATGTCAAAGCCTGAAAATCTACAAAGACGCTGTGCAGAAACAATAATATACAAAGTTAAAAAATCCGTCCTGCTCACCGACACCATCTTGCCCTCGGAGGGCATGAAGGCGGGCCTGTTGCTGAGCCTCAGCTTGGTCTGCAGGGTGTTGAAGTTGATCTCCAGCTGGCATTTTTCCTGCACGCGGGGTGGCTTGTGGATGCGGCGGTAGTCACGGAAATCCTCCAGCTTCTGCTGCATGGAGCGCATGGTTTGCTCCGCCACGCGGTTCTCCAGCCAGGGGATGGTGCGGCGGATCCACTCCAGCAGCTACAGAAACAAGGTCAATGTGAAGATTAATTCTTGTCTGTATTATTTATGGGTTTTACTGTCTGATAACTATCAGTTTGCCTTAATACTAAGAGGTGTGTACATCTTCTAGTATAAAATGTCTGGATTTGGGTTCATTCATGTCTCAGGTGGCTCATATCCTCTGTATGAGCACTATAAAAGGCCCTGCTGTGGTTGACCTTAGATTTGAGATATTCACACATTTCTCGTTGGAATTATTCATGTTTTTTCACAATTTCTCTACAAAGAAAACGATTAAAAGGAATTATACAAGGATGTTGTTTTGGTTATTTGCAGCTCCAACAAACAGCCTCGCAAATGCAAAGAGTTTTTGCTTTTTTCTAATATCTTTTTAACTATAAATCAAACGCTTTCAAGCTTAAAGACAAAGTACTCTGGCTGTGAAACTCATTTCATTAAAATAATGGTTTCTCACCTCGCTGGCCAGCTTCTCGTAC